ATCAGAGTTTTATAATTCTTCTTGTGTAGATCTTTCACTTTTTTGGTTAGACTGATTCCCAGGTATTATATATTTTTTTGTAGCTATTGGAAATGGCATTGGTTTCTTGATTTCTTTTTCGGATTGTTGGGTGTTAGCACATATGGATGCTGTTGATTTACGCATGTTGGTTTTGTATTCTGCAACTTTACTGAATTCATTTGCCAGTTCTAACAGTTTTTTTGGTGGTGTTTAGGTTTTTCTAGCCATAAGATCATGTTGAGTTCGAACAAGGGTAATCTGACTTCTTCCTTTCCAATTTAGATGTCCTTTTTTTCTTTTTTTGCCTAATTGCTCTGGCCACGACTTTCAGTATTATGTTGAATAATAGTGGTAAAAGCGGGTATCCTTGTCGTGCTCCATTCTTTAGAGGAAAGGCCTTCAATTTTCCCCCATTCAGTACGATGTTAGTCATGGATTTGTCATAGATGGCCATTATTATTTTGAGGTATGTTCCTTCTATATCTATTTTCATGAGGATTTTTTTTTTTTTTTTTGAGACGGAGTTTTGCTCTGTCACCCAGGCTGGAGTGCAGTGGTGCGATCTTGACTCACTGCAACCTCTGCCTCCCGGATTCAAGCAGTTCTCCTGCCTCAGCCTCCCAAGTAGCTGGGATTACAGGCACCTGCCACCATGCCCAGCTAAGTTTTGTATTTTTGGTAGAGACAGGGGTTTCACCATGTTGGCCAGGTTGGTCTCAAACTCATGACCTCAAGTAATCTGCCTATCTCACCTCCCAAAGTGCTAGTATTATAGGTGTGAGCTGCCACGCCTGGCCTCATGAGGATTTTTATCATAAAGGGATGTTGAATTTTATCATATACTTTTTCAGCATCTATTGAAATAATCATATATTTTTTGTTCTTGATTATATTAATGTGGTATATAACATTTATTGATTTGCATATATTGAGCCATCCTTTTACCCATGAAGTGAAACTTGTTTTTTTTTTTTTTTTTTTTTTTGGAGACCAAGTCTTGCTCTGTCACCCAGGCTGTAGTGCAGTCATGCAATCTCGGCTCACTGCAAGCTCCGCCTCCCAGGTTCATGCCATTCTCCTGCCTCAGCCTCCTGAGTAACTGGGACTACAGGCGCCCGCCACCATGCCCGGCTAATTTTTTTGTATTTTTAGTAGAGACGGCCTTTCACCATGTTAGCCAGGATGGTCTAGACCTCCTGACCTCGTAATCCGCCCGCCTCGGCCTCCCAAAGTGCTGGGATTACAGACGTAAGCCACCACGCCCGGCCATGAAGTGAATCTTTATTGATAATGGTGAACGATCTATTTAATGTGTTGTTGCATTTGATTTGCAAGTATTTGGTTGAGGATTTTTGTATCTGTGTTCTTCAGTGATACTGGCCTGTAGTTTTCTTTTTTTGTTGTATCCTTCTCTAGTTTTAGTGTCAGGCAATGCTGGCCTTGTAGAATGAGTTCAAAAGTATTTCTTCTTCCAGTTTTTAAAAAAATAGTTTGAGTAGGATTAATATTAGTTATTTTTAAAATATTTGGTAGAATTCAGCAGTGAATCCATCAGACCCTGGGCCTTTCTTTGATAGGAGAATTTTTATTACAGCCTCAATCTCATTACTTGTTACTGGTTTGTTGAGGTTTTCTATTTCTTCATGGTTCAATCTTGGTAGGTTGTATGTGTCCAGGCATTTATCCATTTCTTCTAAGTTTTCTGATTTGTTGGTATATAGTTGTTCATAGTTGCCATCTCTTATGAGTCTTTGTATTTCTGAGGTCTCAGTTGTTATGTCTCCTTCTTCATTCCTGGTTTTATTTATTTGGGTCTTCTCTCTCTTTTTCTTAGCTTACCTAGAGGTTTATTGATTTTGTGTATTGTTTCAAAAAAACAACTTTTTATGTTGTCTATCTTTTTTCTTTTTAGTTTTAATTTTCTTAATTTTTGCTCTGGTCTTTATTATTTCTTTCCTTCTATTAATTTTGGCTTTAGTTTGTTCTTCCTTTTCTAGTTCCTTGAGATGTATGTTAGGTTGTTAATTTGAAGTCTTTCTACTTTTTTGATATCAGTGTTTATTGCTATAAACTTTTCTCTTAGTACTTCTTTTGCTGTATCCCATATGTTTTTGTATATTTCTATTTTAATTTGTTTCAAGAAATTTTTAAATTTCTTTCCTAATTTCTTCATTGACTCATTGGTTCTTCAGCAGCATGTTGTTTAATTTCCATGTGTTTATGTATTTTCCAAGGTTCTTTTTGTTATTTAGTTGTAAAGTTTTATTCCACTGTAGTCAGAGAAGATGCTTGGTATGATTTCTATTTTATTTATTTATTTATTTTTGAGATGAAGTCTCGCACTGTTGCCTGGGCTAGAGTGCAATGGCGTGATCTTGGCTCACTGCAACCTCCCCCTCCCAGGTTCAAGTGATTCTCCTGCCTCAGTCTCCCGAGTAGCTGGGATTACAGATGCCTGGCACCACGCCCAGCTAATTTTTTGTATTTTTAGTAGAGACAAGAGTTTCACTATGTTGGTCAGGCTGTTCTTGAACTCCTGACCTTGTGATCTGCCTGCCTCGGCCTCCCAAAGTGTTGAGATTACAGGCATGAGCCACCGCACCCGGCCAATTTCTATGTTTTTGAATTTGTGCAGACTCGTTTTGTGGACTATGGTCTATTCTAGAAAACGTTCCATGTGCTAATGAAAAGAATATAAATTCTGCAGCAGTTAGGTAAAATATTCAGTAAATGTCAGTAAGGCCTATTGGATCTTGAACGTGGGTTTTAAAAGATGAATTGGAGTTTACCAAGGGAAGAAAATACATTGCAGACAGAAAGGAGCTTGTACAAATATACATTTTATGATTCCTCTGACAGCAAAATGTATCTTCCCAGTTATTCTGTATTTTTAGTCAGTAAGTCATTTCCATTCCTTGAAAACAGACACATCAATAGGGAATATATATGTGGGTAAAGATTAGACCAGAAACAGCCCTGAATCATGTTGGGTAAAAGGGGCAAGCCATTATAAAGTTTAAATTGACAGAGGCCAGTACTAGATCACCCTGGACTGTTTGGGAGCTATGCCAAAAATTTCAAATACTTTGTTTAATAAACCATACTTGTCCCTCCCAAAGGTATATGAAAGTGGGTAACCTGGAGGTCTCCTACCATTGCCCTACAGTCATCTTGTAGAAAAAAGTTACACATTAACCAAAAAGAATGGGCTTTCTTGGCAGCCCCAGAGAGAGAAACTCAATGTGTTTGCTTTTAGATGTCAGCTCTACCAAGAGCATAGATAACTTCCCAGTCATATTTTGATTATTTATTATCTGGTTACCAGAAAAGGGCTAATCAAACACATTCCTCCTGCCTCCCTTTCCCATGGTCAAATAGAAGGAATTTGAGACATTTGGGATTGCAGAGCACATTCTGACATCATCTGTATGAAGCCTCTTCTTTCTCCAGAATTCTTTATCTCAGGAAATAGCACTTCTTGTGTCCTTCTATCCAGCCATTCAAGCTGGAAACCTGGAGTTCAGGCTTAACTCTTTCCTCTCCCTCCCCTGATACACTCTTCAGTACACCTCTCCACATGCACACACTGCCACCATGTATCACCTGTCTTATGTCCAGGTGTCCCACCACCTTTCTATCTCCTGAGTCCCTCAAGTATGTTTGTACCCCACTGCCACTCAGCTAGCCTTAGCCACCATCATCCCTTATTGATACTTCTCACCAACCTCCTGACTGGGCTCCCTACCTTTAAGCTCTTGTTATCCATTTCTATTCTCCATACCGGAGCCTGAAAGATCTTTGGAAATGTAGATCTGAGAGTTGATCTCCTTAAATATTCTCCCAGCTCTTTAAAAAGACTGTATGATCTGGCCCTTCAGTCTATACTCTCACCATGGAGGACTTCATTTTTCTTCAAATATGGCCCATCCTGACTGCAGCGCTTTGCATTGGCAGTTACCTGATAAAATAATAATAATTGCCGACATTTATTATCACTCTGGGTGTGTCAGATACTGAGCTAAGCTCTTAAAGTACATGTTCATGTAGTATCCACAGCTGTGTGAGTTACGTAAGAGGTAATGTTCACCACATTTTATGAAGAAAGAAAGGCTTAAAGAGGTTATGAAGTTGGTCCAACTGTAAGCTTCTCCTTGTTGTTTCTTAGCTAAATTAGTAAACATGTAATCAACTGGGGATCATGCCTTAACACTATTTTGAGGCAAATGGTAATGTCAACCAGTGTGCTGTTGTAACATGATGATTTATATTCAGAAGATCTGGGCTGCAGTGCTGGCACTGAGCAGCACTGTGACTCTGGGTAACCTCTGAGAGTCAGTTTTCTCATCTGCAAAATGGGGATTATATTAATACCTGTCTTAGATGATTGTTGCATGGACCAGAGCCAAGCAGTGTTCCTGTAACTTAGTTGATGATCCATAATGTGTGAAAAAATATGCATGTTAAGTGAATGAAAATGCCAAGGGTTTCCCCTGTAAGTTGTGTCCTTTGATTAAAAGAGAAAAAAAAATAGATCCATGCACAAGCTTGCCTTTGGCTCACTCTGTAGCACTTTTCATGTTATCATGAGAGCTGGGATAAATCAGAGATGGTGCAGGACTTATAACCCTACAATTAAACATTTGTGGGAAGGTCAAAACATTTTATGCTTAACAGAAATGAAATTCTATGTAACCTCACAGAATCAAAAAAATCCAAGTATGTGCTTGAAATGGTCTAGTTTAATTTAAAATGTGTTTCAAAATGTGTTTTCATACCTTTACTGAAACAGAATTCTTTAATTTAAAAAATTGCTGTGTTAAACACCCTCTTCTTCATGTATTTGGACCCTGTTCTCACTGTTCCTGCCTACATTAAGAGAGGATGTGGTATCACTTCCAGAAGATATTGTTTGGTGTGATACCTGCTTATGAAGAGGAAGTTGCTGGAGGAATTAATTTCCTTTTGCTGTGTTCCCTTAGGTCTCAGAATGCAGTTGGCCCATTAGGCAGGCTCCCAGTCTGCACAACCTTTTTGCTGTGTGTCGGAATATGTATAACTGGTTACTGCAGAATCCCAAAAATGTCTGTGTTGTCCACTGCTTGGTGAGTAACCTTTTGTTGTTGGTGGTGATGGTTTGGTTTGGTTAAATATGGATGAGCCTGTACACAATGGTAGACAGGTAACATTTGAGTTCAATAGGATTTATTGAGCCCATATTTAGGAATTAGATAATGTGAGAGTTGTAAAAATAAGGAAGGGATTTATTATTCTGGACTTAAAGCTTGACTACCAATGGGAAAGGCAGATGTATACACAACTCACATAGTGTAGGGACTCTAGAATGTGCTAAATATTATAAAGGAGGTAGAAACAGGAGTGATGTGTGCACAGCTAAAAATGCCATTGACTTTTGTGTAAATAAAGTAAACATTAACATATTGGCATATTTATTTTTTCTTCCTGTTTGTGTTTGAATGAAAATAAAAGAAAAAAGATACCTATGTCCTTGTAAGGAGTCACATAGATTGACCGTATTTGAGAGCATTCCCACTGGGACTAATGATTTTTCTGGCCATCGACTTCCTAGAGTTCCTTTTCCTAACTCTTCTCAGAACTCTTGCCTGTCCTTTACAACTCAACTTTCAATAAAATCCTTCTGACTCTTGAGTATTTTCACAATACAGACATTCCCATTATATCTAAATGTCTTCTGTGACTTTTAATACCGTATGTCATAATAAGCTCTTCTACATATTTTCCCACTAGACTATTGTAATCTTGCAGGAGGGAACCATGCCTTTTTTAAAACTTTTGTACTCCAGGCATAAAAGGCTTCAGTAAGTGACTGAATACACAAATGGAATCTGAGCATTAATGCTGGAAATTTCATTGCTTCTATAAACTTTAGTGTGTATGTTTTTGCTATAGTATTACTTGATGATTCCCCACCCCCTGTCTTTTCTTGAGAGCCAGTTGGCTAAAACAGGAAAGAAACAGGAAAGAAAGTTGAAGAACATTTTTTCTTTCTTTTTGCTTCAAATCTCCAAACTCTTGGCAATAAAGGAAAAACACTTGGTGTTTGTAAGAATTTAATGTTGAAGACCAAAGGATTTTCCTTTCCAAGGCACAGCAGATGGTGCAACAGAACAGATTACTTTTAGGGACTAAGCAGCCTTAAGCACCTTGGTGATTTTCTCTTCACTCAAGAATTTTCTCTAAGTTCAGAGAGCCTACATCTGACAGCTTGATGGAGGAAAGATGACTCAACAGAGACCAGAAACTCCCGGTTCCAGTGATTCTTCATAAAGAATAAAAACCCAATGAAGAAGAAAAAAGAAGAGGCAAACAAAAGATTATGGTTCTACAGGGGTGCTCAATAAACTCGCTCGAAAAGAATATGCATATGTTGAAATCAATACCATGTCTTTGGGAGATGGAATTGAAGCTGGGGGAGGGAACTTTTTTTCTTTTCTTTTTTTTTTTTAAGACGGAGTCTCGCTCTATCACCAGGCTGGAGTGCAGTAGCACAGTCTCGGCTCACTGCAACCTCCACTTCCCGGGTTCGAGTGATTCTCCTGCCTCAGCCTCCCAAGTAGCTGGGACTACAGGCATGCGTTACCACACCCATCTAATTTTTGTATTTTTAGTAGAGACAGTTTTCACCATGTTGGCCAGGATGGTCTCAATCTCTTGACCTCGTGATCCACCTGTCTTGGCCTCCCAAAGTGCTGGGATTACAGGAGTGAGCCACCGTGCCCAGCCTCTTATTTTTATCTTAATATACTACTGGTTGTTTTATTAAAAATAAGCATAGCTGAGCATAGTGGCTCATGCCTGTAATTCCAGCACTTTGGGAGACCGAGGTGGGTGGATCACTTGAGGTCAGGAGTTTGAGACCAGCCTGGCCAACATGGTGGAACCCCATCTCTACCAGCCAGGTGTGGTGCTATGTGCCTGTAATCCCAGCTACTCGGGAGGCTGAGGCAGGAGAATCGCTTGAACCTGGGAAGTGGAGGTTGCAGTGGACCGAGATAGTGTCATTGCACTCCAGTCTGGGCAACAGAGTAGGATTCTCTCTCAAAATAATAATAATAATAGTGATGATGATGATAATAATAATAATAATATAGTCTTTTAGTAGAAACAAAAACTTTTTAAAAGACTTGCATCACAGGGAAAAAGAGAGGCTACATATCCGAGAGTCATGGATCTGTGAAAAGAGTGTCAGGAAGGCTAAATTCTGAAAATAAATCAGATTAAGAAAAATATCCTTTGTTTAAAACTGTGTTTGGAATAAGGACAACAACAAATTCTTGAGGCACGTGGTATAATCTTAACTCCTTTATTCTGTTTTCTTTATCAGAGGGAACAAATGTCAAACTAGGAAGGATGTAACAATGATACTTAAGACAAAGCTGATAGGTAGCAAGATAGTACGAGAGCCTCACAATCCTTCAAATTAATTCACTCTCAAGGCTTAAATTATGTGACACAATGCCAAAAGCACTTGGAGAAGCAATTATGGATTTCATTTGTAATATGAAGAAACAGGAAGGAGAGGTGCCAGGCAAATGAAGAGAGGAGATTTTTTCCCAAAATATGGAAGGAGGTTGATCCTGGAAAGTTATAGGCTTGTGAACCTGATGGTAATTCAAGGCACAATTCTGAGAAAGTTTTGCACAGATGATTTTAAACTCTTAGCAAAAGGGGAGTCTTCATTGGTTCATTATGAGCACATATAAAACCAACTGAACACTTCACATGACTAATAGACTAGTTGAGATAGTTTATTGGAGTCCTGCAAGATATTTCTTATTTTGTTATAGTCAAGATGGAGAAATTTGGCTAGGTTGTTTTATATTTAGTTGAGTTGAGGTTGAATATCTGCTTCCAAAGGTAGGTGATTAATGGATCACCTTTCTCCTGGGAGAAGGTTTTATTTAGTTATTATTTTAATCAACACCTTTGATGAAGATGTGGAAATTCAGCTTATCAATTTTCTTAGAATTATAAAGGTCACATAATGAATTTGGATTTTAAAAGTTCTTGTAGGTTGGTCACTTAACAAAAACTAACAACCTGAAATTAAATACAAGATGAATGTAAAGTCCTGAATTCTGGTTTTAAAAGATTAAACATATTTGCACATTACCTTAACAGATCATCTGGAAAAAAATCTAGGGGTTTTAGTGAATAGAGAGAATAATAAAAGCTTATGTTGTTACTTAGCCTGCATTTATACTAGTTTGGCCTGGGGTTATGTTAATACAAGCATAGTGTCCAGAATAAAGAAGATGATACTTCTTCTCTAGTCTGGTCAGAATATATCTCATATCTTGCATTTCACATCTGGGCAGCACATTTAAGGTTGTCATTTTAAAACTTGAATTTGTTTAGAAGAAATGTGCTAAATGACGACATCTCTTAAAATGGAATATCAAATGAGGAAGAATAGAAGGGATTGAGTTCATTTTAAAAGGGAAATAGAAGCATTGATGGAAAGGGAGAGTATTTCAGATATGTGAAGGACTGCTATAGGGAGAAAGGAATAGGTTTATTTTTTGGTCTTAAAAAAGGATGAGGGTCACTGAGTGGAAGCTATGGAGGAATGGAATTCAGCTTAACATATTCAATATAAGGAAGAGCTCTGTAAACTGGAATGGGCTACTTCAAGTAGAAGTAATCTCCCTGTCACTTAAAGTGTTCTAGAAGAGGCTAGGCCACCATCTGTCAGGGATGTTACTGAATTTTGTCTTAATTAGCTTGAGCTGCCATAACAAATATACCATAGGCCAGGTGGCTTAAACAACAGAAATGTAGTTCTGGAGGTTGGAAAGTCCAAGATCAAGGTGACTACAGTTCTTTTCTTTCTTTTTTTCTTTTTTAAGAGATGGGGTTTCACCACGTTGCCTAGGCTGGTCTTGACCTCCTGAGCTCAGGCAATCTGCCCGCCTTGGCCTCCCAAAGTGCTGGGATTACAGACATGAGCCACTGTGCCCAAAGTGCCTGCACTTCTAATGTCTGGTGAGGGCCTGCTTCTGGGGTGGCAGATGGCTGTCTTCTTGTATCTTCACGTGGCCAAAAGCAAAGGGAGATGACAGCAAGCTCTTTTATCTCTTCTTATAAGGGCACATTTCCCATTCATGAGAGCTCCACTCTCCCTACCTAATTACCTCCCCAAAGTCCCACCTCCTAATACCATCACATTGGGGTTAGGATTTCAGCATATGAATTCTGAGGCATACAGACATTTAGTCCATAACAGATTTATTTCTACATTGAATGAAGTTGAATCTGGTGAAGGTTCTTTATTTTATATGAACCTAGGAACATACTTTGCATGAGATACATATATGCCGTATCCCAACAAGCAGCATTTACCTAACCTGTGAGCTCTTTACTTCCAGTTCTAAACCAAGAGACTTCAACTATTAATTATGATGCTAACAAGTCCAAAGTTACTTTGAAGTTTATATTGTTTTTCAGTAAATATATACAAATCAAGTGTATTTTGCTGGGCTTCTCAGATTAGAGTCAATTTTATTCTAAGGATAAGTCTTTCCTTGCTGCTTTAATTTAAAAAGCTGAAACAAATTTTGGTTTTCAAGTAAATAATTTTTAAATGAAAAGCACCCACAGTTAAGAGGATTTCTCCTCTATCTCTCTCTTAATTGCAAATTCTGCCGTTCTCATTGGAGAATGGCTGATTTGATCATGTTCATAATGAATTTATGCATTTTCTTTGACAGGATGGACGGGCGGCATCATCAATTCTGGTTGGTGCTATGTTCATTTTCTGTAATCTCTACTCTACTCCTGGCCCAGCCATTCGATTGCTATATGCCAAGCGACCAGGAATTGGACTTTCACCATCCCACAGGAGGTAAAGTAAGCTAGATGCTGGGTAGGCATAGATGTGGTCTAATTGGTGTCATGTACTGTTTTAAATCTGCCTTGTAAATCCTTTCATAGGTTTCTTTTACTTTATCTTTGTGTTAGTCCATTTTCATATTGCTATGAAGAACTACTTGAGACTGGGTAATTTATAAAGAAAAAGAGGTTTAATGGATTCACAGTTCCACATGGCTGGGGAGGCCTCACAATCATGGCAGAAGGCAAAGGAGGAGCAAAGGCACGTCTTACATGGCGGCAGGCAAGAGAGCATGTGCAGGGGAACTACCTTTTATAAAACCGTCAGATTTTGTGAGACTTATTCACTGTCATGAGAACAGCATGAGAAAACCTGCCTCCATGATTCAATTACCTCCCACCGGATCCCTCCCACAACATGTGGGGATTATGGGAGCTACAATTCAAGATGAGATTTGGATGGGGACACAGTCACACTACATCAATCTGGCATTATCCTGAACTATGGAAAAATGGAATTGGATTAGGATATTGGATTGCCATTCAGTTTGTAAGCCCCCATATGAAAATTTATGATGTTAAAATTAGAAGCAAACTTTAAATAATACTTATGTCCAACTTCCCTCATTTTACAGGTGAGGAAACTGTGTCTCAAGATAGGTTGTGATTTGCCTGAGGTCTAATGCCTAATGGACATAGCCAGAACAACCTTCCTCATCCCAAGCTCTAAGACCAGTCCCTTTTTGTTTTATTTTACGGGTCTTTATTGAAAAACAGCAGTAGCTGGTTATACTTATCACTGGTGATCCTCCTGTGGGGAACATGATTAACAAAGGGAAATGCAAAAATACATAGAGAATAAAGCATTTTAAAATTCACTTTTTCTTGTAACTCTGATATAGAAATAAAATAGATTACAAAAGATAATCTGAAAAATGGAATAAAAAAGAAAACGTTTTTAGATAACATTCATTTTTCTTTCCTTTAATCACATTTCTTCATTTTTTAAAAAATTGCATCTCTTTAACGTTTTGGATTAAAAGTGCTTCTGATGATAAAATTCTAAAATTTATCCAAATCCGAATTTTAGCTGATAAATTAGATATGCTAGATAAGATAGGAATAGATGTTCAAATATTGAAGTACTATAAAACTCCCATAAGCTTTTTGATTTAATAAATACCCTATTATCAGTTCATTGGGGAAGTACAGCAATCTCAGTAGACAAAATCTTTCCTAAGTTATTGGTCGCATTATCTTTTGCTAGTTAATGTTTAATAAATTAATAGAATGGGTCGGGTGTGGTGGCTTACGCCTGTAATCCCAACACTTTGGGAGGCCAAGTCGGTGGATCACGAGGTCAGGAGATCGAGAACATCCTGGCCAACACGGCAAAACCCCGTCTCTACTAAAAATACAAAAATTAGCTGGGTGTGGTGGCGGGTACCTGTGGTCCCAGCTACTAGAGAGGCTGAGGCAGGAGAATGGTGTGAGCCCAGGAGGCAGAGCTTGCAGTGAGCTGAGATCATGCCAATGCACTGCAGCCTAGGCGACAGAGCAAGACTCCATCTCAAAAAAAAAAAAAAAAAAAAAAAAAAAAAGGAAATTAATAGAGTAAATTTTTATTATAACAATAATTTGCAAGAAGAATCTTCATAGCAAATATTGATTGCTTGCTCCTCCTGGTGTGATGGGCCCCAACAGAGCCAATCTTCTGTTTCAGATACCTGGGCTATATGTGTGACCTACTCGCAGACAAGCCCTACTGCCCTCACTTCAAACCTCTCACAATTAAGTCGATCACTGTCAGTCCAATACCCTTTTTCAACAAACAGAGGAATGGATGTCGCCCTTACTGTGATGTACTGATTGGAGAAACCAAAATATATTCAACTTGCACAGATTTTGAACGAATGAAGTAAGTCATGATACTTTACTTCTTCCTGTGTACTTCTCAATTCTTGTGTAAATGAGCAGGAATGAGTTGAATCATATTCTTCTTGCAAGACGATATCATTGTGAAATAGCTGATATATAAAAAATGTTCAACATCAGTGGTAATCCTAGAAAAGTACAAATAAATCAGGGGATGCCATGAGCCCTTTTCAAATCAAATGGTGATATAGGCTAACGGACTAGCATGAGCTATATAGAGGATTAAGACAGTGGAGGGGAACACAGGACACCTGCTCATTGAAGGAGGAGATGGCCTTGATGGGATTAGGTGAGGGTAATGGAAGAATTACTGATGAATGAGGTTTCTAAGTGAGCAACTAGGTAGATGGTGATGTAATTAAAGAAGTTATAGAATCCATAATAGACAGCAGGTGCCAATGGATGGTCATAGGGGATGTGGAGGGAAGGGAATGGGTGGTAATGTAAAATGAAATTAGTTTGGAATAGATTGAATTTGACGATTGGCATCCAAGACTTTCACAGAGCATGACATTTCTGTTTGTATCCTGATCTCCAGTGGATTTTTTGTTCCCTTTATCTCTGCTTTTACTATTAATTTAAAGTTAAGAAAAGGCAAATACATGGGGGCTAGATGCATTTGAGGAAAATGAAATCTGCAAAGCAGGCATGGGCAATTGCAGTCCAGATGGGATGCAGAGAGGGGGCCTGGCATTAGATCAGCACCATCCCACTGCACAACCAGTTGGCACTGGCTGCACTCCTGTTTTTTGCTCAAGATAGTAAATAGTTTCTGGGTCCAGGCCTGGGCAAACAGGCCTCTGGGCCAGAGCCACAGAGGGCTATACCTGTGTCTGTGTGATTGTACCTGATTGGACTCTCTTTCAATGTATATTTTGGTCTGTGTTTACAGAGAATATCGTGTCCAAGATGGAAAAATCTTCATTCCCTTGAACATCACTGTGCAAGGAGATGTGGTCGTTTCCATGTATCACTTGAGGTCAACCATTGGGAGCCGGCTACAGGCTAAGGTATGGTTTTAGGAAGAATCATGGCATAAGCTCATCTGAGTCTTCAATAGGAGTATTTCTGAATCTTTTCTCCCCATCACTTTGGGCTCGAGTGACTTATAGTTTTAGAATGAGAAAGAGTCTTTAAAGATTGCTTAGCTCATCTCCTTCATCTTACAGGGGAGGAACTGAGACTTAGAGAGGTTATGACTTGCTCAAAGTCCTTGGCATGATGTCTGTGCCAGAGGGTGGCAGCCCCGGAACTCTTAGCAACCCATGCTCTTTAGAAGCCTGTGCTTTTCTTATAGTGCTCCATTTGGATCAGTGTAAGGGAAGACATTTCTACTGAGGATGTGGAATTAGGGATTGTATTTTTTCAGTTTTAGAAATTGAGATAAAACTACATAACATAGAAGTCACCCTTTTAAAGTATACAATGCAGTTATTCTTCGTATATTCAAAAGGCTGTGCAAACATCACTACTATCTAATTCCAGAACATTTTCATCACCCACAAAAGATACCCTGTACCTACTAGCAGTCACTTCCTATTCCCTCTCCTCCATCTCCTGGCAACCACTGATCTACTTTCTGTCTCTATGGGTTTGTCTATTTGGGACATTTTATATAATGGAATCATATAGTACGTAGCCTTTTGAGGCTTCCTTCTCTCACTTAGCATAATGTTTTTGAAGCTGATCATGCTATAGCATGTGTCAGTACTTCATTATTTTATATGGCCAAATATTATTCCATTGTAATGTCACAATTTATTAATCTCAGTTGATAATCTCAGTTAATAATCATCAGTTGGTGAACATTTGGGATATTGCCATTTTTTTGCTAATAGGAATAATGTGACAAGTAACTGTGTTTTGATTCATCAGATATTGGTTAAGTGAGTGCTTTGTGCCAGCCATTGTTGAGGTTTTTAGGATTGACAAGAGTGAGATTATGTCTCTGCCTTTAAGGGACTCACTTTCGCAAGGGAAATCCATACAAGTAGGAATATGCATGATACCATATTAGAGGGAGGATGAGGTGTTATAATGGGAGCAGTTTGTTTTAGCCAGCAGTGGCCTAGAAAGGCTACAGAGAGAATATGAACTTTCAAGATATGTCTTAAAGGATGAGTTCATTGGGTTGGAACAGGGCATCCTGGGTAGAAGGAATGCAATAAGTCAAAATATGCCCGTGTGCAAGAACATAGTACTTAGCAGATGAGAAAATGGTTTGCTGAGGCAGAGTTCAAGGAGAGGAGAGGCTGGAAATGAAGCTGAGCCTATTCTAACTGGGGCGGTCATTTAATATCCATAGTAAACACAAATTCAGATATTGAAACAGTTGAAGGTACATGGCTCCCAAAAATCTAATCTTTTGATCAGAGTCCCTTTTCGCTGATTGATTGTAACGTGCTGCTCTCATGTATTTTTAGGTGACCAACACGCAGATATTCCAGCTTCAGTTTCACACTGGATTCATACCACTGGACACAACAGTTTTAAAATTCACCAAGTAAGGACTGGTTGGGCCAAAATTCTGTTTGAATCAAAGTAGCTGTGAAGTGCTGAGACTCCATAGCACTAGGCTGTAGCATCCCCTGGAATCCTGTGCTGCTAGACTACTGAGTGTCACTCAGTAGCACAGAGAGGCTGTGGGCATTCCAAAGCTTTCAGTTGGATATGATTTCTCTTCAGAAGTACAAAGGGACCAAAGACTTCAAATAGAAAGGTCTAAAATTCTATGTGAGGGAATAAGGGTAAACAAAGCGGGACAAAGTATCACTACTTTTGATCCTTTGCATCTGTGTATCCCCTTGTGTTTTCCAGTGGGGATGGCAGTTTAATCAGTGGTATGATATCAGCAATGACGCATCAGAATAGATGCCCTGCCATAGCACTGAAGCAGGCTTCTGGAGGACCTTTCTGCAACGACATTAACCTATCTCATAGTGTGGTCTAGGTGAACTCAGGTGTGGGGGTGGCTAAAGCTAGGGTGGAGTTGCTGGGGCCAGGATAGGAGTAGATGTTTAAGGGCTCAGGACAGTGGCTGTGGGCCTATTGCACTATTTTAATAATGGATTTTGCCATGCCAGTCACATCAGCCCTGCTTTCTAGAATGCAGTAGCATCCAAATTTGTTGAGCAGGCATTCTCCTCTTTTCTCTAGATTAGGAAACTGAAGCTCAGAAAAGTAAAGTAACTTATCTGGTTATGATTGAGTCTTATTTAGAAATGAGTCTTAGATTTAATCTAAGAGTCAACCTAAGACAACTTCTGTGCCAAACATCATACCAGTTCCATTGTTTTTCACTGAACTTATCTTTTTTAAATCCCTATTTAGGCCTGAGTTAGATGCATGCGATGTACCAGAAAAATATCCTCAGCTATTTCAGGTGACACTGGATGTAGAACTACAGCCCCATGACAAAGTAATAGACTTAACTCCTCCATGGGAACATTACTGCACAAAAGATGTCAATCCCAGCATCCTCTTCTCTTCTCACCAGGAACATCAAGATACGCTGGCCTTAGGAGGTATGAGTCACCTGATGGTTTTGTTTTTCAGGATGAACATCTCTGTTATTTATTTCCTGTGTCTCATTGATGCTACATGGTCTTTTTGTCTTTCAGGGCAGGCTCCAATAGATATCCCGCCAGACAACCCCCGGCATTACGGACAAAGTGGTTTCTTTGCCTCTCTCTGTTGGCAAGGTATTTACAAGTGTTTCTTTAAGTCACATGGTTTGATGATTATGTATTTCTTCTGTAAAGATGTTGGCCCTAGAAGCAAACTAAAGTAAATCAGCACTTAGAGGTTATTTAAGCAAGGCACATGGACTCCCACCTGTAAGCCCAGCACTTTGAAAAGCCAGAACAGGAAGACCAGGAGTTCAAGACCAGCCCAGGCAATATAGCGAGACCCTATATCTACAAAAAATTTAAAAAATTAGGTGGGAGTGGTGGCAAATGCCTGTAGTCCTAGCTATATCAGAGGCTGAGGTAGGAAGACTGCTTGAGCCCAGGAGTTCAAGGTTGCAGTGAGCTATGATTGCACCACTGCACTGTATTCTAGGTGACAGAGCAAGACTCCAAGTCTAAAAAAAGTTGTTTTAATTAAAAAAATTTTAAAAAGACATCATTCAAGTTTACATCCTTCCAATTCATTTCCTGTTCAAATCAGGCAGCTTCCCTACTTTCAACTCAATAGATGCTCTTAGACTGATGCACAAGGTCATTTTAACTGAATTCTCCCTTCTCTATCTATGCTGTGTTTTTGGTCACATCTTTTCTGGACTAACAAATAAGTGTGATAAGTGTGATTTTTTTATGGTCTCCCTTTAGATTGCTGCCTCTGTAATGAGATTAACACAGGATTCTATCTTCTGCTCTCAACTAAATATTATAAAAATATAAAAATCAACATTTCCCTCGGGAGCCTTAACCACTAGCAGGGCAGAACTGAGCTTACCCTGCTGCACAGAAAGCATACACTTGGCCTATATATCTCTGCTCTTGCTTTAACAACCATACCAAAAATAAGGACTTGATTACTGTGTTCTTTTCTCTCAAACCTGGAAATATTTTCAGAATCTTTCTCAATATAAAACTTCCAACTGCTGCCAGCAGTAGCCTGACATTGGCATCCTAACCAATACCCATTGGCCGTCCTTGCTTTAGAGCTGGCTGGGATTAACTGTGAGATTCAGTGTAGACATGGGTAGTCCGGGTTTGGGTATGAAAGGGGTAGGAAACTGGCTGTGGTGATGGTCTATCTGAAATTCTCCTGATTGACCTTCCTCTGATGTGTGAATGTAAGACAATATTCCCATTGCCTGCAGGTTTCAGTTTGATGAAAAAGTTGTTCATAAAATTCCTTTGAATTGAAAGACTTACTTTCAGAATTTTCTTTTGAGAAATGGAACTAGCAAATCCTCAAATTTGGAGAACCCAGTGGTATCTGGACAGTAGATAGATTTCTCATCCCCTGTGGACTTTTCTTACCTCTTATTTTCCTCACAGTGAGGGCTTTTAATATAGCTTCACTCTTAACCTCTCCACTGTCATTTTAGTAAATAATTTAGAGATAATTCCTGTAGGCTCTGAAATAGGCTTTAGCATAGATGCACAGTCTCTTGTCTGAACCTCTCAGAGCCAGGTATGTTTAGGAATGCAGAATTTTTTGGATTTTAGAAGGGTGATATGGTACATAAACTGATATAACTCGACATCCCATGTGATATCTCAGACAATAACCTATAATCAAACATATTAATATTTCTGCAGTGGAACATATAAATAATAGCCCTAAGTGAGATAAGTGAAGGCTGTAAGTATCTTCATATTCATTCCTGTCAGTTTTCCACCAATTGAATTCATGCCAAACTTAGGAAAGCCTTGCCCTTTTCATAGCTTATTACATTTTAGAATTTGGAATAAAGGATGTGGATCCATACTTGATTTGGAATGTGGGTCTATCTGGCATTAAATATCAAATTTTTGTGGGAAGATCTGTCTCAGGGACGGCTTGGAAAGTCACTCCTTCCCTAGAGGAGGCCTCTTTCCTGCTGCTCATTTGTGCTGGAAGTACCCCTTTCAAGCTGGTATAAGGACCTTTCACAGCAGAGCCCTTCTTTTCACTTTTTAAATGTGTGGTTCACTTCTGCTCCAGACTGTTGGAAAAAGGATTTGCTTTTAGCTACAGGACACATGAGAAGTAAAGACAGTAAGAAGTGTCAGCAAAGGACTAGCAGATAATGGTTTGTACCCCCGCCACCACCTCCCCCACCAAAGCACCTAACGTAGTGCCTGAAAAAAAATCAACACTTAGGTACTACTTACTATTGATTGGAGTGATTTATAATATCATCTCATATATTTCTCACAGTAGCCTGTGAGTTAGGTACTGTTTATTTATTTAGACACAGTTTCACTCTATAGCCCAGCCTGGAGTACAATGGCATGATCTTGGCTCATTGCAACCTCTGCCTCCCGGGTTCAAGCGATTCTCATGCCTCAGCCTCCCGAGTAGCTGGGATTACAGGCACATGCCACGATGTACAGCTAATTTTTGTATTATTAGTAGAGATGGGGTTTCACCATGTTGGCCAAGCTGGTTTCAAACTCCTTACCTCAAGTGATCCTATCTCAACCTCCTAAAGTGCTGGGATTATAGGCGTGAGCCACCATGCCCGGCCATTAGGTACAATTTGTTATCCCCACTTTGCTGAGGAGGAAATCAAGGCACAGAGAAGTAAAGTAAATTGCCCAGTGTCATAGAACCAGTGAGTAGTGGAACTGAGATTCAGTCCTAGGCTGGCTCCAGAGTTCATGCTCCTTATCCCTATACTCTACTTCCTCTCAGATGCTCAACAAGTGGTATTTGAATATAACGTGAAATACATCAAGTGTTCCACTGGTTGGGGTCTGAAAGCACTGTTTGCTCAGGGCTGAATCCTCTGTCTTTCTGGAATTATATACATATGACAAAAACCAACAATGCTGTGGTCAACAACTAATCTCTTATGGTATACTGGCCTTCCTCAGATCAGAAATCAGAGAAGTCATTCTGTGAGGAGGATCACGCTGCCCTAGTGAACCAGGAAAGTGAGCAGTCAGACGATGAACTTCTGACACTTTCCAGTCCGCATGGCAATGCCAATGGTGACAAGCCTCATGGAGTCAAGAAGCCCAGCAAAAAGCAGCAGGAGCCAGCAGCCCCTCCACCCCCTGAGGATGTGGACCTTTTGGGCCTGGAAGGGTCTGCAGTGAGTAACAGCTTCTCTCCACCAGTGGCTCCTCCCACCAATTCTGAACTACTGAGTGACCTGTTTGGGGGTGGAGGTGCAGCTGGTCCCACTCAGGCCGGACAGTCAGGAGTGGAAGATGTGTTTCATCCTAGTGGACCTGCGTCTACCCAGTCAACACCACGCCGCTCTGCCACCTCCACTTCCGCGTCTCCAACCCTAAGAGTGGGAGAAGGTAATTTTTTCTATGTTGCACTGTGCCTCTCAGATTTGAATTCTAATCTTTGGCCAAAGAGGTGGAAATGAACTTTCCTAATAAGCTAGACTTTTTTGATTTCACTGAAAGTCCTTTAGATGTCTGTATCTTTATTTAAATAGAAAGCATAAGAGAAAATAGAAATATTGTCCATTTGGGTAGCACACTAAGGTAGTGTAAGAGTGGACATTTGAGCTTCACACTCTTACTTCTAATTTTCTTTGTTTAGCACTTCAACCCCTGAGCTGCATTAGTTATGTCTGCTTAAACATATTGATTGATGAATTATTGTTGATAAAATTAAGTAGTATTTATGAGGTATTTACTATTTGCCATACATGGAATTTAATACTAAAAATGATTTAATTCTCATAGAAACCCAATAAGCAAGTGCTATTTTTATCCTCATTTTATAGTTGAGGAAATGGAAGCATAGAATTAAATCAGTAGCCTAGGTTTATATGACTAATAATTGATAAGTACAGCTCCTGAAGAACCAACTCAAACCAGCTACCCCTTGGTCCTGTCACCATTAACCAAGATGACTTCACATTAGGAAGGGTAAAGAGAAATGTCTCAACTCTTCAGGCCTATAGTATCCTACAGGAACATTTTTCCCCCAAGCATGTCCTTCCCAGAAGGCTGTGGGCTGGTCTTGACTTGTGATAGTTCAGCTGGAGGCATCCTTCATGAGTGTGGGTCTCGGAATTACAGAGTATTGGTATTGAGGCTCAAGCTCCGATGTTAGTTATTGGTGGAGCCAGGATGTGAACTCAGGTGCCCTGAATCCTATGCCAAGGCTATTTCCTCTGTACTTCACTTCCTTCCCTACAGTTTTAACTTGCCAAAGTGAAAAAAAACTCTGTCAGGAAAACAGTTTCCAAGATCCAAGATAGCACAGTACTCGATGATTGCATTTTAAGACTATGTACCTGGTGTGACTCTCACGATTTCATTCATCATAGTTTCAGGCAGCTAGTGGCATTCCAGTACCAGAACGGGCCTTAGACATCAGTTAATTCTGTGCCTCATGTTATAGACAATGAAACCGAGGCTTAGATGTATTGATTGACCTGTCCGAGGATACCCGCTGGATTAGTGGCATACCCAGGTCTAGAATGCAAATATTCTATCCCCCCAGAGGAAGTAGAAAGAACACCAAATCTAGAGTTAAAGACCTGGATTTGAATCCCAGGACTAACACTTAACTATCTGTGTAACATTATTGAAAAATCTTCTCAGTTGTAAAATGGGGATCATACTTACATATTAGCATTGTTGCAAAGACTAAATTTTGAGCTCTTGTCTTGTGGTATTGGGCAGTTTTAGCTATTGGAGAGTGCCCCTAGTTTAACATAAATTGATATTTTAAATGTACTAAGTATGGTAAGAAGGGATGAGGCTAGTTAACAAATAAATCCTGCTCTTAAAACCGAGGTAGGATATATGGCTTAATATGTTTTCAGCTAAGACTTCATTGGCATAATGCTCTCCTAACATCTGCTGGGCAGCAGATTAGCCTTGTGTAGCAGCAATGGTATCAACTGTGGTTCATCCAGCAGATAAGTCCAGACTACTCCTTTGTCCACAAAGATAGGAAATTCTTGGAGTCCACTGTTAGCCCTGCATGAAGTGACAATTCTTTGACATTTAGTGAGTGAACTCATGGGACAAATAAATATATTTTCCCATTGTTTTCTAGGTGCCACCTTTGACCCATTTGGAGCACCTTCCAAACCATCAGGTCAGGATTTGCTGGGTTCTTTTCTGAACACATCCAGTGCTTCCAGTGACCCGTTCCTCCAGCCCACAAGAAGTCCTTCACCCACAGTACATGGTAAGGAAATATTTTATATTGTATTCAGTGGAACATAGTTTTCTGCAAGATGTCAGTAAATGCTCATATATAAAAGCACCCTGTAGGTGCTTTTTTTGGTAAAAGCTTCCTCACACATCTCTGTTTTTGAAATTAACAACTCACCTTAACATAGCAAAAGCTCTGGGCTGTCTTACAGGACAGAAACCTGCTTAAGTTTGTTTAGCTCTGCTTTCCTGTTTGACTATGGTATCCTTTTTTGCATTAGAGCTACCTGGACAGAATCATAAATGACCCTTGATTGTAGGACATATAATTATTTTATGTACCAATAAGAAAGAAAACACTGCCACTATGAAATGACTGGAAGATACTTCTTGGTTAGAGAAATCTTTGAAATGTGGAAAAATATGTCCTAAATCAATAAAATATGTTAGTAGTCCACAAAATTGGTATTCCAAAGAACAAAGTTTGGGATATGATAGCCACTAGTTACGTGTGGCTGTTGATGACTCGAAATGTGGGTGATCTGATTTGAGATGCACTCCAAGTATAAAATATATACCAGATTTCAAAACTTAGTACAAAAAAAGCATGTCAAACATCTGATCAATATTTTTATATTGATCATTTATTAACATAATATTTTGAACACACTGGGTTAAACTATATTATTAAAAATAATTTCAATAGTGTCTTTTTACTTTTTAAAACACGACTGCTAAGAAATATAAAATTACATATGTGGCCCAAATTATATTTCTATGTTAGAGACTTAGGTTGTATAGAAAGAATAATAATCACATCCATTTATAAAAGTGGGTCACTTAGGTAACATTGATTAAAACCGGAGCTCTGCAGTGAAGGATAAATAGCTTTGAGCCAGAGAGTTGTAGCTCATTCCTGATGTTGAAGTCTAGTGAACATTATTGGCCACAACCTAGAAAGTGATGCTTTGTTGAAGGCATCCTGAGCTTGCTTGGAGAATGCAGTCCAGTTATCAGTTGACTTCGGGAAACCATGCCAATACGAAAGGAAGATGACTTTTGCAACACTGGTGAAACTGAAACTTGACTAAAAAAGAGTCCAGGAGCAACTTTTATGGTTCATTTCCAACTAGTCTTTAATCTCAAACTATTTGAAGTGTGTCCACAGGACGATATACAAGGAATTCCCCTCTCACCTATGAGTCATGCTCACTTGAGAGAGTCTCCTGATTGGATGTTGACTATCTGTAGGAGAAAAGATGCAGGAATGTAGAGTAGAGTTGGTTTTGCTCAGTCATTTAAAATGTTAAGTCATGTCATTGCTCTGCTCAAAATGCCTCCCCATTTCACTCAGCATGAAAACCAAAGTCCTTGAAATGGCCTGTGTAGGCTCTGCATGCTCTAGCATCCCAGTGCCTGTGACCTCATTTCCTATTCTCCCCCACTTTGCTCTCTGCATTGCAGCTCTACTGGCCTCTTTGCTGTTGCACTGGCTGTTTCCTCTGCCTCATACTCTTCCCCAGGCATCTCCGTGGCTAAGTCCTTCACTTCCTTCGAGTCTTTGCTCAAATATCCCCTTCTCAATGGAGTCTATTCTGATTCTTCCAATTCAAATCACAACTCATCTCCCAACCCTACTCTACATTCCCCTTTCTGTTTTCCTTAGTAACTTCCAGTATACGCAGTAATTAACTTATGTGTGACTTTTTGTTTGTTTGTTTGTTTGTTTGTTTTTGGTCATCTATCTGTCTCCATTAGAACATGAATTCCACAAAGGCAGGGAATTTTGTTTTGTTCCCTAATATATCCGTAGTGCCTAAAAGAAGTACTGGCGGCCGGGCGCCGTGGCTCACGCCTGTAATCCCAGCACTTTGGGAGGCCAAGGCGGGCAAATCACGAGGTCAGGAGATAGAAACCATCCTGGCTAACACGGTGAAACCCTGTCTCTACTAAAAACACAAAAAATTAGCCGGGCGTGGTGGCAGGCGCCTGTAGTCCCAGCTACTCGGGAGGCTGAGGCAGGAGAAAGGCATGAACCCGGGAGGTGGAGTTTGCAGTGAGCCGAGATTGTGCCACCACACTCCGGCCTGGGCGACAGAGCAAGACTCTATCTCAAAAAAAAAAAAAAAAAGAAAAAAAAAGAAAAAAGATAAAAGAGGTATTGGCACATGGTAGGTGCTATCTTTCCAATATTAAATATAAAATAAATTAACTCATCTTTTCTCATCCAAGTTTCTTTGATGCACAGTGATAGTGTCTATAAGGCTACACATTTTCCTGATTTTAATACTTTGAAATTATTGTTTTAATAAGAGTACTACCCTTTGTGTCCCATGAACATGGGTGTTCATACTTGGCAGCTTGGCAGTTTTGGATCTAGTTTTCTGTTTCTGATGAGCTCATTAGAACATGATGTTTATCACCCAGTTTAGGCCAGTTAGCACTCCTTTGTTTTGTGGTTACATTTCTCATTTTGGCCTGTATTGTGCTAGCGAGTGGAAAGAATTTTCTCCTCTCCTTGTTGGGAAAGCAGTGATCATTTCACTGTTACTGAATCAATTCACCATCTTCATATAAGATAGAATATAGGTGACACTCAGATGTCTGCTTTGGGAGGTCAGATTGCCCACCTCCAAATCCTCAGGGTACTTCCCCTGGGTTTCTACAAAGCATTGCAAATCTCTTGTGAAAATTAAAAAAAAAAATACTACCTTTGGGCTCAACAAATATTTATTGAACATCTATTCTGAAGAGAATAATCACTTGGGACATGGTGTTGGAAGAACAAATAAATAATCATAATAAAAGGCAAAATAGAGACTAAAATATTAGGTAATTACCTTTTTTAAAAAATATATTCCTGTCTCTCTAACAGACCTTAAGTTTCTTGAGGATAGATAATGCATCTTTTAGTCTCTGTCCCCTGGTGTGGTGCCTTGCATGTGGTAGGTAGTCATAAGGGTTTGTGGGTTTGATTAGCAATAAATTATAATACCTACTTCTACATCGTAATTGGTTGTAAGACTAAGATGAGAGCTTAAAGGAAATCAGATAGAACGTATTTGCAAAACCGTCTAACTTCCACCTCAGTGGAATGGGTTATTGTGTAAAAAGAGAAGGGAAAAATATAAAAGAAAGAATTATTATTGCTGATAATGGCATATCCTTTTTAACTTAATGATGGGAAGGTACTAGATGTCTTGGTTGGTACTAAGTGAACAAAACAAGGACATAAAAGATTTGGAATGCTAATCTTGATGCCTTCTGGTGGTGATGGGGTGTGTGTGTGTGTGTGTTTTAAATCCCAGTTGCAATGTCAGTTTAGTATTTGAATTTTAATCATTAATTTGTGTGGGCAAAACCTAGAGGTGCCTCAGAAAGAAGTTCTTCATCATGGCATCTTGTTTCCTATATAGATTTTATAGATGTATAAAAAACTTACTACGCACATGTATTCCTCTATTACACCTGATTCATTTTAGCCAAATATTTCTTTTAAATTATATGTTTGGAACTTTGAGGGGGGTCAGAATGATTTATTTTGAAGCTGTAGTGAGTTTATTTTGAGTACCATAGACACATCCCTGACAACCAACATAGTGATGGTGTATAACCAGTGCCCAATACATGTTCTGCATGACTCATGGTTCTCAATTCATGTCACAGCAGAGGAAAAAACAAAATGTCAGTTTTAAGTGGATTATGCCTCTATACTTGTTAGTACTTAGCAAAGGTAAACTGAGTTTAAGGTGTTTTCCCCCTCTGTTCTTATTGCACACTGACTTTGTGTTAAGTTTACAGGTGGGACACACACACATAAGATAGTTCTTTCTTGCCTTCGAGGGACTCACGGTCGAATGGAGACAGACACATGCTCAGCTATAACTCAAGGTGTTTGGATATGGAGGTAAAACCAAAGTGAGACAAAGAAGGAGCAGAGACAAATAATATGTAGTTTCCGTCAAGCCTCATGTGAACAACCATAGGTGAAGGTAGAATATATCGAGTGTTGCAGAGTGTAGCAAGAACTCGGAAGCACGAGTGGATTTCTTGGGATCTTGCTGGAGCCATGCAGGCTTCAGGGATGGATTGGCATTATCCTATGTGAATTCAGAAAAGTGGGTTATGAGCTCTCTTGTTCTCATTCTTTTTCTTCTCCCCATTTGTAGCTTCTAGTACGCCTGCTGTGAATATTCAGCCAGATGTTTCTGGAGGTTGGGACTGGCATGCTAAACCAGGTAAAGGTCAGCAGGTTATTTTCTGTACACATTTATATAATTGCAAAAGCATAATCCTTACCCAAGATGAAGTGAGTACTCAGAGAGTATTGTGGCCTACCTGTGTAATTTGTGTCACTTTTTCCTAAAGATTCTTATTCTGAAAGAGCTTTTCCCAATGCACTTGATGACGTGATAGTGCTACTTATCATACACCATTTAACTTTTCTGAGTTTCTTTTGCTGGATGTCTGTCTTGACAATAGAATCAGACAGATATAAATATATATCAAACTCTATCACTTAGAAACTCTTGGATTTTTTGGCAAGTCTGAGCTTCAGTTTTCTTATCTGAACAATGGGGATAATAATTTTGGTCCCACACAGTTGTATAAGTTTAAATAAAAAAAACTTGTATAAGAATTTCTGGTATAGTGTAGATGCTGACAAATGTGAATATTCTTCCTTCTTTACAAAGTACTTATTTCAGAGCAAGATTTGTCTGTGATCAATAAGGTCTCCTCCTTATGACCACTATGGCATTTATGGAGCTGTCTTACGTGACTGCTTCTGACGTTGAACAAGTTAAGTGCAGGCGTGCACATATAAACACATACACAATGGGCTTATCACAACAACTTTCTGAAGCAGTTGCTGCTTCCTTTTTTTTTTTTTATTGTAGCAACCCCCTCCCCACAACATAACATTTACCCTGCCAGTAATTTCCAAGTGTACAATGCAGTATTATCAGCTACATGCACTTTGTTGTGCAACAGATCCCCAGAACGAACCCACCTCACCACTGACCCTCCCGCATAACTGAAACTCTACACTCACTAAATAACTCCCTATCTCTGCCTCTGCCACCCCTGGCAACCGCCCTTCTACATGAGTTTGACTACTTTAGATACCTCCTATAAGTAGAATCATACAGCATTTGACTTTTGTGGCTGGCTTATTTCACTTAGTATAACGTCCTCAAGGTTCATCTGTGTTGTAGCATGTGACAGGATTTGCTTCTGTTTTTAATTTTTAAAAAGTTTTTGGCTGGGGCGTGGTAGCTCACACCTGTAATCCCAGCACTTTGGGAGGCTGAGATGGGAGGATCCCTTAAGGCCAGGAGTTCATGACCAGTCTGGGCAACATGGCAAAACCCCATCTCTACAAAAATACAAAAATAGTCAGGTGTGGTGGTGTGTGCCTGTAGTCCCAGCTACTTGGGAGGCTGAGATGGGAGAATTACTTGAGCCCAGGAGGTTGAGGCTGCAGTGAGCTGAGATCACACCACTGCACTCCAGCCTGGGTGACAGAGTGAGAACCCTGTCTCAAAAAAAGATTTTTCTTTAAATTGACAGATAAAATTGTATGTATTTGTTGTATACAATATGAGGTTTTGAAGTACACATACACAGTGATATGGTTTAATGTAGCTAATTAACAAAAGCGTTACCTTTACGTGGTTATATTTTTGTGGTGAGAACCTTTAACATCCATTCTCTTTGAATTTTTCAAGAATGTAGTAGATTATCATTAACTGGAGTCACTATGCTGTACATGGATCTCTTGACTTATTCCTTCTATCTAGGTGTAATAATATATCCTTTAACCAATGCCTCCTCATCCCTGCCCTACGTCCAACCACCCCAGCACCTGCTAACCACCATTCTACTCTTTATTTCTATGAGACCAACTTTTTTAGCTTCCATATACGAATGAGAACATACAGTATTTGTCTTTCTGTGCCTGGCTTATTTCATGTAACATAACGGTGTCTAGGTTTATCCATGTCGTCTCAAATGACAGGAATTTCTCCTTTTTATGGCTCAATAGTTTTCTATTGTGTGTATACCACATTTTATTTATCCATTCATCCATTAATGGGTACTTAGGTTGATTCTATATCTTGGCTGTTGTGAATAGTGCTACCATAAGCATGGGAGTGCAGATATCTCTTTGACATGCAGATATCTCTTTGACATACTGACTTGATTTCCTTCGGATATATACCCAGTAGCAGGATTAATAAATCATATGGTAGTTCTATTTTTAATATTTTAAGGAACCTCCAAATTGTTTCCCATAATGGCTGTACTAATTTACATTCCCACTAACTGTGTTCTTTTTTCTCTACATCCTTGCCAACAAGTTTTTTGTTTTTGTATAACAGCAATTCTTATAGGAGTGAGGTGATATGTCATTTTGGTTTTGATGTGCATTTATATGATGATTGGTGATGTTAGTATTTTTTATACATCTGTTGGTTTTATACATCTGTTGGTTTTCTTCTGGTTTTCATCTTTATGTTTTCTTCTTGTAATTTCATAGTTTTGGGTCTTATATTTAAATGTTTAATGGAATTTGAGCTGATTTTTGTATATGGTGAAAAATAAGTCTTTTTACCCTGTTGCCTTCTTATTTTGTTGATTGTTACCTTCCCTGCACAGAAGTTTTTAGCCTGATAATTGTCCCATTTGTTTTTCTTTTATTGCCTGTGCCGTTGGTTTCATATTATTTCTCTTTTTTAAAACTAATGGTAAAATGGTGAAGCTCAAAGATGTTAAGCAAGATTCCCAAGGTCACTCAGGAATTGGCAAAGCTGGAATCTAGATCCAGACCTAACTTCAAATCCTACAGGAAAGAGTGAAGTCAGGTGACATGAAGACCTGGAAATAAAACAAACACTGGATATAATAGTTCACACTTGTGGCTTGGAAACACCATTTGTCTTTTCTGTGTTCTGTCCTTGTTCAAGGTCACCATTCACCCAGGTCAGGCAAACAGGGTCTAGCAACTTCTTAGACATTTTCAAACCCTGTCCTAATTTGCCTAGGAGACAAATGAACAGTAACTCTGGAATTCTAAATTTCAGAATTCAGCCTCAAACAACTAACTCATTTTCAATGACCTTATTTCCTTTTCAGGAGGCTTTGGAATGGGAAGCAAGTCAGCTGCCACCAGCCCAACCGGATCCTCGCATGGTACTCCCACCCATCAAAACAAACCCCAGACTCTGGATCCTTTTGCCGACCTTGGGACGCTAGGTACAAACTCAGAAGATCGAGCTACAAATAACATTTATTTATGGCTACAAAGCCTTAAATCTCAGTCTTTGGTGTTATAGCAAGCTGGTCTTGTCACCTGGAACCTCAAATAGTGTGTATTCTTAATCTATCCTCTGAAACCTGAGATAGGCTTTTTTAAAAAAAGAAAGTGAGAATCAGATATGGGATTCAAAATCATCTTTATTGATTCATTTCTCCAGTGCCTAATTCTGGATGTGTAGTATGAATAAAGTTAGAGCTTTCAGGGGCTCATGGCAGCAGAGTTTGGCTGCGCAAAAGTAATGTGTAGGGAAATGGTATGAGACAGGGCTGGTCAGATGGATTTGTGCCACATAATGCCAACCTTGCAGAACACTGACTGTGATGCTGTGGTGTTACCTGTGAGATCTTCACACCGTTCCCCTTCTCTCCATTAACTGTGGTGATCTCTGGTCAATTTGTAAAGTTCTATACAGAAAATAGACTCAAGTATCGTATTTCCAGAATATTTTCACCATATGTTAATAGATGTCACAGGGTAAGTGTTCTGAGAGGAAGTGAGATTGGGAAACACTGGTTTCAGTGGATTTTGATTACCACTAAGAGGGTCACAGTGTCCAGCGTTCTCAAACTGATTTCACCAAGGAACCTGTTTTCAAGGAGGGGTTCATTGGAGTACTGTGTTCTGAAACATTTTCTCCCTCCTTTTTCCTTCCTCCTCTAGGGCAGTGCAGATTTGTTAAATAAGGATGGGGTAGCCCTGACACAAAGGTTTATCTTGGCCATATTGATAGTCCCTGATCTCAGGAAGGCCTCTTGAGGCATTTAGAGCCAGATGGAGGGAATGTGAGCCTGGCTACCATTGTTGTCTATAACTTGTGTCAGCATCTTTATCTTCCATTCTGTACTATGTAGATGTTTTTCCCTTCTAAGAACTCTCAAAATTCTTTTATGCAGACATTTTCTTCTCCACCTTTCTTTGTATCTTACAGAAAATTTCAAATTTTAAAGTAATATTACTATGTCAGATGAAATTTTACTTCAATAAAATCTCATTTATTATTGATTTTTAATGCATTTATTCATCCAACAAATATTTATGAAAGTGCCTTCTAGGTGCTAGGACTGTTTTGGTAGAAAAAAAATAGCAAAAAAACCCCAAAACTCCTGCCTTAATAAAACTTACATTATAGAAGGGGAATCAAATAATAAATTAACAAATATATAATATAATGTCAAATAATGAAAACGATAAAAATAACAGTTAATAGTTATTGGAAGCCTTACTATGTGCCAGACACTACTTGAAGTGCTTCACATATATCATTTCATTTAATCTTCATAATCTTTTGAAGTAGTGACTGTTATAATCCTCATTTTACAGATGAGGAAACAGGGACACAACAGATTAAGTAACATGCACAAATCACAAGCTTTCAACACCAAGAAGTCTAGCTCTGGAGCTTGCGCTCATAAAAGGTTTAGAGGTTGATGTAGCTGAGTGTGGGAAGGAGTATCAGGTCAGTTCATCCAGTCAATGATTTTCTACCCTTGAACATTAATTCCCTCATTTCACAAGTATTTTTGAGTACTTACTACGTGGTAGGCATTCAGGATGTAATAAAGAATCAAGGCAGATGACATTCCTGTTCTTTGAAACTTACACTACAGTGGGAGGAAGAAACTTTAATTGAATGTAAAATATCCACTACTGTAGGGGCTACACAAGATGGAGCATTTTTTAAAAAGCTCCCCAGGTAATTCTAATGCACAATCAAGGTTGAGAACCACTGCTGTAGCTTTTAATGAGGATTGCAGTGGTCTCTGGATTTAGCTACCACTTTGTTTTTCTGTCAGTTATCTGCTTCAATTGCATTAACAATTAGACTTGCTGAGCATAGGGAGAAAATATTCTAGAAGGGTGGACATCAGAGAGTCCTGCAATGTTGATGAGCCCCGTGAGTGTGGGGTCAGCGTCTGCTTTTTCACCACTGTATCTGCAGCCTGGCATCTAGAGGATGCTCGATAGTGGTTCCTAAATGAATGAATAACTGACAGTATGGTAGGCATATGGCAAGGTTTTCTTCATTCTTTAGGCTTTTCCATATTTACCAAATTTTAAAATAAAAAGCATATATGTTCAGAACAAAGTAAGCTTCCTTAAATATAAAATGAAACCTCAGTAGAGTATGAATACCAAGTCTTAGGTGTATGTTCCTGTGCTCTTGGCAGGAAGGCTCTGGGACATAGGAAGAGGGACTTCATGCTGCTAGTTATGGAATGAGTGGGGCAATGCCAACTTTGAAGACAAGCCCTGTCATTACATTTTCCTATCACCAAGTATTTATTGAGCCCTGAAGATGTACTAGGCATGTGCTTATTAGCATATGAGCTTACATTATTTTATAATATATAACATCTCTTTGCTTAATTGTGCAATACTTTCATATAGTTGTTGTGTCTTTACAGTATACCTGTGATACAGACATAGTTTTGATTAAACGGATGAAGAAACTAAAGCTCAAAGGGGTGCGATTTTTTTACCCAGCTTTAGAAGAGAGATATAGAAAGATTCTCTGTGTCCTGTTTTCAGCTATATTCTTAGTGCCCAGCATAGTACATCACACTTGGTAATGCTCACCAAATAGGGGTGAATTAGTGTATATATGTATGAATGAATGAAGAACAAATGCAAGAATGAATGATAGAGCTGAGACTGAAACTCAGATTGACGATAAGTCCAGTGATCATGACACATTTCCAGTAGGGAAGGAAAGTTGAGTCCCAGGATCAGAATAGGGAAAGTATCTATAGAAAGAAGGGATAGTAAGGGATGAGTTATAGTGAAAGGCTCAGCAATTAGGTGAGGGATTAAGGATTACTGGGTGAAGTAAACGAACATGATATTTGGAGGTAGGATGTACATAGTCTAATCCCAGCTCCATAATTAGCTGTGTGATCATGAGCATATCAGGAAACCTCTCTGAGCCTTAATTTCCTTATCTTTAAAGTGGGGCCAGTGATACTACTTACCTCCTAAGAGTGTTGTGTAGATCTGAGCAGTAATGTACATAAGCACATTTTGTTAACTCTAAAGAGCTATATAAATATTAGTTATTTTATTGTTGTTCCTTTAGACTTATTACATGAAAGGGCCTTTGGGGATCATCACATTTCAGCTTCTCATTTTACCTCTTTAAATGCAAGTCACAGCTGGTTTTCATATTTTGGACATAACCCAGCTTGTATGCAGTGAGTGCTTAAAAGTTTGGAGATTATGCAATCACGATTCTACTTAAATTCCTGGCACAAAATAACATCATTTTTAAAGCTTGAATAAGATCCTTTGTCCTGTTTAAAGTTATCAGAATGTTGACTATTTTTTCTTTCCTTGAATGAAATGCAAGTAGTATGAAATTAAAACCTACTTCTGAAATTTCAAAACATCTTTATTTACTCTTGGGCACTAACCATGCTTTATAACAAAAAGTGATTAATCCTAATAATTGAAGTTTAAGTAGCACCTTAATGAGTGGACTTACTCTGTTTTATTCCCCATTCTTGTCATTTAGTAGTTTTTTAAAACATTTTATTCTAGTGAAGAAGTAGAATCTGCTTAGAAGATGGAAGGGTGGGGAAGGATGGCACAGTGGGAAGAGCCAGGGTTCTTTTGACTTGGAGGCAAAGATCCAGAATCAAGTGTCAGCTCAGCCACTTGCTGTGTGCCTCTGAGAAAATCACTTAACTGCTCTGACCTGCAGTTTGTTCATCTGAAGGAAAAATGAGGCCATTAAAACATACCTAAAAGTGTCGTTGTGGGGATTAAGGAAATAATATGTATGCCTGTAATTCCTTTATCTATATTAGGAAGGTTACTTATGCTATCAGTCAAGGGAATGGCTACTAAAGCCACTGCAAACAATATCTGAAGACACAAGAGTTAGAGGCCACTCAATATAGTTTTACCTTCTTCATCCCTTTTTCTTTAGGTAGTTCTTCATTTGCCAGCAAGCCCACCACACCAACTGGATTGGGTGGAGGATTCCCACCTCTCAGCTCGCCACAGAAGGCATCTCCTCAGCCTATGGGTGGTGGGTGGCAGCAGGGAGGTGCCTACAACTGGCAGCAGCCACAGCCTAAGCCTCAGCCCAGCATGCCCCACTCCTCTCCCCAGAACCGACCCAACTACAATGTGAGCTTCTCGGCCATGCCTGGGGGCCAGAACGAACGTGGGAAAGGATCAAGTAATTTGGGTAAGGATGATGGTATGGGACCTAGCTATAGGGCAGCCTGTCTGTGTTGTCATACTGCCTGAATATGTATGTCTGAAGGTGACAGTAGTTTCTGGGTAGTTTCAATTCAGTAGTTTCTGAGGAAATCTTACAGTTGTAGAGACACAACATGATCCCTACCCCCAATGCTGTACCTGGAGCCTCCTGGGTTGACTATGCTTCTAACTTTTATACCATTTTGTGACTGTGGGCTCACTTGTCCATTTCTCTCCACACTGGAACCACATGGAGGGCAGGGACTGTGTCTTAGTTGCCATGGTATCATTAGCACCTAGCATAATGCTTGGCATAGGGTAGGCACTAAATGAATGTTGAAGGGATGTGAGTGGAGAGGTGGATGGATCTTAAAGCTGTTATTCCTTTGGAAGAGGAGGTAGAAGAAAAAGTTGGGGAATCTTCCAAGCACATTGGTCATATTTGCCCTTTGGTCCCAGTTGGAGGACTGTATGTGTCTTGGAACACTTGGTCTTTCTTATGCTCTGTTTGGTGGATTCCTGAGATCAGTGGGGTACCTATAATGGTGCCAACACCTGAGGCTGGAGGATACCTTGGATAAGATCTTGACAATGAGTGAAAAGTAATATTTTTGCATAGGAGGGATGGTTAGATTTGAGTTTATTAAAAGCCTATTTTGGTACATTTTATATTTCAGTTGATTTTGTCAGACTCTGCAATGAAGTACATAGGAACATGGTGAGGGAACAGGCCTTTCTCTCTATGGAACATGGAAAGGCGATTCTTCTGTTCCTCCTAGTAGCTGTAGCTAACATTTATTGAGTCCTTACTGTATGCCAGGTGCTATCCTAAGCATTTTCATGTACAGTCATCCCCCTTTATTTGTGGTTTTTGTCCTTTGCAATTTCAGTTACCTGAGGTCAACTGCAGTCTGAAAATATTAAATGGAAAATTCCAGGATTAAGCAATTCATTCATTTTAAATTGTGCACTATTATGAGCAGCGTGATGAAACCTCACACCATCTTACTCCATCCTGTCTAGGATGTGAAGCATCCCTCTGTCCAGCACATCTATGTTGTGTTCTCTAGCCTCCCATTAGTCACTTAGTAGCCATCTCGGTTATCAGATCAAAGAAAGTACTGTATATCTAGGGTCCAGTACTATCTGTGGTTTTAGGTGTCCACTGCGGGCCTTGGAACATACCCCCTGTGAATAAGTCGGGGGACTCCCATATTATTTCTTATAATCTTCAAAACCAACCACATATCATAGCTGGGAAACCTGTGACACAGATCGATGAAGTAATTTCCTAAGTTTATATAGCTTATAAGTGACAGAGTCAGGATTTGAACTCTGGCAGTTTGGCTCCAGAACCCCTGCCCTTTATTGCTACATTCTACTGGCTAGAACACAAGTGCTTCTCACAACACCAACACGTTAGGAATTCAGTTGTTGGGGGTATGTAACATCATGTTTGTTCTTGACTACCAGGGATATTTCCTGGACAGTTCCATAGAGTCATGTCAATTCCCCTCCATTTTTGAGTAGATAGATGTGGGGTGAGTGATTTCAATCAGCAAATACTTATGGAGCATCTTCAGTGTAGAAAACGTTGAGGATGCAGCAGTAAACAAGAAACAAAATCCCTAGTTTCAGAGCACTTACATTTCAGTGTGTGCAAGTGCAGGTGTGTGTATGTCTTACAGTATAGAGATAGCAAATGGTTTTCAACTCAACCAACTGATTTTGGTTGATTTGAATTGACTGTATGGACTGATGTTTTGGTTCTATTTTGTTTTAACAAGCATTTAGATAACCAGGCACTGTTCTAAGCATTTTAAATGTTAACTAATTCATTTTCACAACAACTCCATAAGGTAAGTAATATTCCTAACACCATCCCCATTTTATGGATTAGGAAATTGAGGAATAGAGATAGTAAGTAACTTGCCTAGGTCACATCACTATTAAGTGGCAGAGTTAGAATTCAAACCTGGGGAGCTGGAGTCCAAATTCTTTGTTCCTAGCCACCATGCTTGGCTGCCTGTCCAACCAAACTGAGAAAGATTATGAGGATACAACAGACTTGGAGAGAAAGAGCAAAGTGACTGACTAAAATATCAACAGAATAGGGGCAGGAAAGTGGTAGCATGCATGGATTTCAACTACCAAAACCCAGATCCCAGTGCCAACACTGATATGAGTTAGTTATAATCTGGAGGGATAATGAGTATCCTCATCTAAAGAGAAGGTACAGTGGAGATGGAATTTGATTTGGCTTCATGAACCAACCTCCAGTTTTAACCTTGCCACATATATGTTAAATGATTCTGGACAGATTCATTTTCATCATCTGTAAAATGGATGCAAGAGTCTCTTACCCTACTCACAGGGTAAGCAAGCATAAGGGTTAAGGGACTGAATGCATATTAAAAACATCTTGAAGACCCCAGATGCTGTGAGATAATGATACAGCGTTATGTTTAAGAATGAAAACTATAATGATTTTCAAACATTATATTGCAGAAGGGAAACAAAAAGCAGCTGATTTTGAAGACCTACTCTCTGGTCAAGGTTTCAATGCTCACAAAGACAAAAAGGGGCCTCGGACAATAGCTGAGATGAGAAAGGAGGAAATGGCTAAGGAAATGGATCCTGAGAAATTAAAGGTGAGTGAGGCCCCTGACACAGCTTGATTATCCTATATGACAAAGTCATGTGATAAAGTCATGTATATGGAGCTATCAGCACGAGACTAACCTATTGTCTTAGTCCATTCAGGCTGCTATAACAAAATACCATAAATGGGGTGGCTTATAAACAATAGGATTTTTTTCTCATAGTTATGAAGGCTGGAAGTCTAAGATCAAGGTGCCAGCCATTTTGGTGTCTGGTGAGGGCCATCTTCCTGGTTCATGGATGGTGGTCTTTCCCTGTGTCCTCATAGGCAGAAGAAAGAGGTCTTGCTCAGGCCTCTTCCATAAGGGCACTAATCCCATTTACAAGAAATGTGTCTCATGAACTAATCACCTCCCAGTAGGAAGCCCTAACCTCCTAATACCATCACCTCAGGAATTAGAATTTCAGTATAGGAATTTTGGGGGACACATACATTCAGACCATATCACCTATAGAAGGCGTGGTATTAGATTTCTGGTGGCCACTCTATTTGGTTTTTACAGTTGTGATTTGAGTACAGCTGTTCCCTTTAAAAGCAAAGTAGCTGTGAGGAGGTTGCACACACTGTTTAATTTCTTTAATAAAATAAATGTTATTCCATGGTATGGCAATATAGATTTCTTTTGTTTGCCTGTTCAGATGAGCAACGGCACTTTTTAAGAGGTGATTTTGTTATTCAGATGGCATTCACATTCTAAACATGAGTCATTAGAATTTGCTGGTAAGAAGAATGCATTATTTATGTTTTCTGTTTCTGCCTTGAGAGCTTTTTTATTAAACCAGATTGACTGAAGCCCCCAGGATCTCTTCTCTACTGATAGAGAAATATTTACGTATCTGAGACTTACCAATTCCTGCAACATTAGACCTGGAGGTTTGGAAGGTAGAGGAGAGAAAGGCTGAGGGAAGTGTGGCTCCCATCTTCCCCATTGTCTCCCTCTAGTTTTAACCCAAGCAGTTCTCCTTTTATCTCTTTTTGATTCTGGAGGTCTAGGTAAAATTAGATTTGAGGATTTTCCTTAAATCAAATCAACATACTTTTTTCCTCAAATCAACATACTGTTTTAGTATGTTTCAGCATTGTTGTTGTTGTTTTTTTAAGTTTGCAAATCAGCAAATCGAATCCCTTTGTTTCACAGCTGAAGAAAAACCACATAACTTCACAGATGAAGATGTTGTATGGACAGGCAGATGCAGATTAGCTGGGAAACAGAGGGTGGTGATGTTGATGAGTGGTATGAGGTCTGGAAGAGTTTGTAAAGATCAAGAGAATTGGAATGTTCTTCACAGATGGAGAGGTTGAGTTCCTATGTGACAAAATACTAAATATGCTGACACTATAACAAACTGAAAGAGGAGGATGTAATCTGTCTTTGTATTAAGGCATCTGCAAAACCAGTACTTGAACAGCAAGTCAATCTTAACACATTCTGAAAACATGTACCACTGTTCTGTATAATTTCCTGACAGATTTGTTGCAGATATATATAATATACATCTAATATAACTTAGATTCTTTGACACATTTTTTAGTACAATGTAGGATCTTTCATTTGCATGTTTTTCACTCCACCCAATGTCACAGGGGCTTAATATTTCTCCCAAAACTTTGTGTTTTATCTCAAAAACCTTTGTTCATTAGGCAAACTCAGACGGTTTCCTATAAAAGAAAGCTGTTTATTTCACTTAAGCTATGTTTGATTATTTAATTGGTACAGGGTATGTAATTGTTTGGGAGAGTAGCTGTCATTAACATGACTGAACCATTCATCCAGCAACACTCACTTAGCCGAACTCCTGTTAGGTACTCAATGCTGATACAGTTTTATGATCCCCCTGACTTAATCACCTCATTTGTTCAAACTGTGAATGTTCATAGTTCAAATAAATGACTAAATGGATCAATTAATGTAACAAGCCTTTTTGAGCTCTTCTGCACCAGGTTTATTATTTGGTTCTGAGATGCAGTGATATATAAGAAATAATACTTTTCCTCAAACAGTTCTGCCTAATGGAAGGGAAAGACAAACACACAATTACAATAAAGTGTGGCACATATTATGGTAAAAACATGTTTAAGGTAGAGTAGCCCAGAGAAGTTTGGCCCTTTTTTAACGGTTACTTATTTAGTGCAGTATCTACCCTCATGGAGTTTATTTTGAGTGTAACTCTGAGGGTAGGGATGGGAGAGAAAGGAAATCAAACTTGCAAAGTCTAACAGTGTGACATTCCTCAGCAGGCTTTTGAAGGATGATAGAGTTAACCAAGAAGACAAGGTAGGAGGTTAAGGAGGAGAAGCATTTCAGGTGGAAGAAACAGCCTGGATTATACAGGTTGCCCTAAGTGTTTTGATGTTGCTGGAGCAGAAGGGGTTTCTAGAGTCCGAGTGGAAACCTTCTGAAGTAGTAATTAAGCATTTGAATTTCTTAATTCCCTTCGTGTTTACAGATTCTGGAATGGATTGAAGGTAAAGAAAGAAATATCAGAGCCCTTCTCTCCACGATGCATACTGTGCTGTGGGCTGGGGAGACCAAGTGGAAACCAGTTGGCATGGCAGACCTGGTAACACCAGAGCAGGTGAAGAAGGTGTACAGGAAGGCTGTCCTGGTGGTGCACCCAGATAAAGTGGGTATAACCTGCCCTGTTGTGTAACTTGTCAGGTCCTTGCTTCATTATCTTATGAGTATGTGTTTTACTTTAAATGTGCTGGTTGATATGACCTATTTTTAATAAAATTAAGTCTATGGGCTAAAATCAGATATTTAAACAAATAGTTATATTTTATGAAATGAGAAAGAATATATCAAACTATATATTACAGGGGCTTATTTAGAGAGAGTAAGATTTACCCAGGGATTAATTTTTAGGGCTCAGAAGTAAATTGTGGCTGAGTACGGTGGCGTATGCCTGTAATCCCAGCACTTTGGGAGGCCAGGGTAGGCAAATTGCTTGAGCCCTCAAGTTTGAGATCAGCCTGGGCAACCTGAAAAAACCCCGTCCCTACAAAAAAAATACAAAAATTAGCTGGTGTGGTGGCATGAGCCTGTAGTCTCAGCCACTCGGGAAGCTGAGGTAGGAGGATCACTTGAGCCTGGGTGATCAAGGCTGCAGTGAGCTGAGATCACTCCACTGTACTCCAGCCTGGGCAACAGAGTGAGACCCCGTCTCCAAAAAAAGAAAAGAAAAGAAAAAGTAAATTGTATCCTGACTTACAATAGTAAGGACAGGCTAAGAGCTGGACAGAAGAAAACTTCTTTCCTTTAGAGATAAAACAGTATGGTTAGCTAGGACAGTAATGGAAAAGCTTCAGAATGTAGTTGGTAAAATTTGTGAGAATCAATAAAATATTCAAAATAGAATTAAATTTGCCACTGTCTTGATTATCACTATATTGATTATGTCAGTTTATGTCTTCATTGAAGTATATATACATCTAAGGCTCTACCTTGTCAGAAACTTCAACTAACTCATGGCTAAATGAAATCATCGTATAATACATAGAAACATTCAGAAAGAAGTGAGTCATCTTGCTGTCACATAGACTATACCGGTCATATGACATGAAGCTATGATCGAAGTGCCACTTGGGAACACAGGCTTGAATTTGATGCATTTGATTTTCGTCTCTCCACATTTTTTTTGTACTAGTCTGGAAAGAAGAATTAATGAGAAGCAGTGGTAGTGCTTGAATTTTGATGAATCAAAAGAGAAGGAGAAACAAGAGCCCAGAAAAATCCACAGACTGTATGCCCCATTATGACTCTCAAAGAACGTTTTAGAAACGGGAAAACGGGAGTTAAAAACAGTCAATGGAGATGGGCTGTCAAGAACCTTTGTCATTTGGCAGATACTTCTGGAGAACAGAGATATATCTTTTGCTGCCCGATAAGCTCTCTGTTGTCTGCTTCTTGACGGATTACTACTACCCTTGTGCATTTCTAGGGGGAGGGCATTGTGGGGAGGTTATAGTAATTTGGGTCAGATATAGTAGATTAGGCTGAAAAGTAGAAATGGCCAAATAGAAAAACATTTCAATTACTTAGAGCCCATATATTGGCAGTGAAAAATTCAATATCAATAACATTTTGGTCTGTGGTATCTAATGTGTGTTTTTGTTTTCTCTGCAGGCTACTGGGCAACCCTATGAGCAATACGCAAAGATGATTTTCATGGAGCTCAATGATGCCTGGTCTGAATTTGAAAACCAAGGCCAAAAGCCCTTATATTAATTCAGGAGCTTTTCCATCCCTGCTGCAGACCTATGCTAATGCTTAGTGTGTGTCACAATTCTGAGGTTTTCGCAGATGAACCAAAAACTCCAGTAACACGTTTTCAGTACTAAACCGTTAAGTTACTCATGAATTAATTTCTCATCGATAAGGAATGTGGATGTTTGGTTTCTCAAAGTTCCCACCATAAAAGATCCAAAGCATGAGAGGAACTTCTAGTCAGATGACCTTGCAGAACCACTGCATTCCTCCCTGCCCTGTGGGGAGCCCACTCAGCATTCTACCTGGGGAAGTGGAAAACAGAGGCCACCACCCATGAAGGCATAACACCCATCACATTGTCTGAGAATAGGATTAATGAGCAACAGTTATGATAATAATTAATAGATACGATGGTTTAATGGTTCCTAGATTTTTCTTGGAAAGATATAATTTGAGCAGTGGCTTTATGCAGACTCAAAGAACAAGACCAAGTATTTTTTTTTAAGTAAAAATTTACTAAGGCCTTTAGCATAATACTGTAAATATCTTTTGGTCAAGAGGACTAACAAATATAAAGGAACTTGAATTGTAGGGAGTGATAATAGTCCAGTGATTAAACTACAGTCCAGTAATGACCACCAACTTTCTGACTAAGCTAAAAATGAATGAAAATGCTGGCTAAAGAAACTAGGGACTCTGAAGATGCCGAAATCTTTATTCCTGGTTAGGAAGGTGGGCTGCTACCCTTCTTTCCCTTTAGAAAACTGTGATTAATTAAATAAAAAGTCTTACTACTGTAACAACTCTAAACCTGGTTTAAATGAAACATCTAGTTTTGCTGTAAGGCTTAATGCTCTTCTTTTGTTTAGCCAAGAAAACATTCTTGGTTGGAAACAGGTGGTAAAGTAGTTTGGCCTGTTCACAATTTATCAGGGCCAATATCTAGTATGGACTCAGTGTTCTCTAGGTTTGTGAGCGGTTGTGGTAAGAGAATAGAAGGCAACACTGAATAGGAGTTATGAGAATGGCACGATCACAGTGAGAGAGCTGCACTTACCCGCAGACCCAGTCAGATGGCTTGTCAGTATCTGCTCTGAGGAACCAGGTCCCACCTCCCCACAAGGCAAATCTAGACCCATTGGATTATTACAGTGGACTTTATTGTTTTAAAAGTAGTTGGGGATCCACAGGAACAACATTCATACAGGGACATTTGTGAAAGCAAAGCAAGAATGAAAGCTTTCCAGATCTTAGACTGGCTGGATTAGATCAGTGTGTTGGCTGGTTCTCATTTTAAGGGGTAAGCAGTTTGCTGTTCTGTGACTTTAGTAGATCTCTTTTGTGTGCACATATACAATGTGCATTATACATACGTATATATATGCGCAAAGCAGATGGGCAAAAAGATTTTCATGCTAATCTTCAAAGGTTCATGCTCAATGTTGTGAAAAGCTTTTAAAAGTTGTTTTGAAAAGACAATCATTTTTTGTTTTTGTTTTAATTTTCTTGTGGCAAGCTATACCGGAAAAGCGGCATGTCAAAAATACTTTAGGTTCTGCATAGATCTCTTTCTCTCTCTCTCTTTTTTTTTTTTGTTTGTTTGTTTGTTAAAGTTCATTATTTATTTTACCTTTTACTGACAATGTGAAACTCAAAGAAAATGTTCTCTTTTTAAATATACAGTCATAAACTGTTCAAGGTAACCATAACAAACTAGATGTTATTTATTAACGTATTATAAAATAATGTTTGATCCAGTATGTGCTTGTCTTATTTAAAATTGGAATGTGAGACATGTTGCTGTGACCTGTTTTTTTTTCCTCATTCACATTTGTAGATATTGTGTGAACTACAGTATATAATAACAATTAAAAGGATATTCTGTGGATGTCACATATTTTGAAATGATAGAACTACATTAGCTTTGTATCATGTTTGGATAATTCATCAATGTTCACAGTTTAAAACATCATTAAACATTATGTAATTAGCAATGAGAAAGAATCTTACTTAACTTAAATTTGGGGATTTCCCCCCACATCTCTTTTCCGGATACATTATAATTCTGGAACCCTATTTATCTCAAAACTCTTAATATATGCAGACCAACAGGTTTTTGCATTCCTTTTAAATAGCTGGTTGTGACAAAGCTTGTTGTTGATCAGATTCACTGTTTCATCATATTTATTGTAATATATTTTTTGTTTTGTAAATATGTTACAACAAAATGTGATTGGTCTAAAATATTTGTAATGTATATTAAAAGGTTCAAAAATATTTGTGGAAATCCAAGTTATTTGGGTACTTGTAGGAATACAGTGACGAGCTTGAATGCCACCTTCTGACATGATTTACTTTTAAGGAAAGTTATGAGGAGAGAATACGAAAAGCATGCACCAAAATGTCATCTGACAGGATTTCTGGATTTATACTTAATCCCTCCTGCCCCAGCACACACACACACACACACACGCACGCACACATGATTTTGATTATGCTACATGATATATGTTTCAAAAAGAAATACCATAGAAATCCTGGTCTCCTAGCCAGAAAATTAAAGGATTTTCAAAAAAATTAATCTGTATGTTGAGGCAAAAGGATTGAACCTGGAAGTCTGGGACTTTATCATAGAAACAAAGTCTCAGATATTTTAGTTCTTTGGAAACAAATGCTGTCATTCAAAAGCATTTGACCCATCACTGTACTGTCTACGTGAGGAAGAATGTTCAAGTTGAATCCTAATGCCGTGAATGAAACACAATCTGTGTAGGGAATGAGCACAAAAGTTGAATTCCCATTGCTTTTTGGCCTTTTGGCTAAAATAAATGTAGCATCTAATTTTATCAGTTTAACATCTGATATGTCTTCTATCCATGAACAATATTTAAATGGATTTTTTGGAGCAGGGAGATGGAATAGGAGTTTCTCCCACCCATTCCACACATCAGCCTGGTAATGCAGTAACTGCAGGAATGCAGTAGATGCAGTAACCTCCGCCTCACTTAAACAACAACAACAAAAGAAAAAAGTTGAATTCCAGAAATAGCTATTGCAGCAACAAGTCAGTCTCCCTGCTGGAAACACCTATCAGGGAAGCTAGCTCAAGTAGCAGATTTTGATTATTCTAAAGATAAATCATGGTTTTTGGGAATAGTGATACATGTTGGTTTGAGATTAAAAGACTGGGTTTAATTCCCAGTTTTTCCATTTATAGACTTTTTTTTTTTTTTTTTTTTTTTAAACACAAGAGAGTCTTGCTCTGTCACCCAGGCTGAAATGCAGTGGATCTGTCGTAGCTCTCTGCAACCTCTAACTCCTGAGCTCAAGTGATCCTCTCGCCTCAGCCCTCTTGAGTAGCTAGGACTGCAGGTGAGAGCCACCATGCCTGTTTTTTTTTGGTTTGTTTGTTTTTCAGATGGGGTCTTGCTGTGTCACCCAGGATGGTCTTGAACTCCTGGCTTCAAGTGATCCTCCAGCCTCAGACTCCCACAGTGCTGGGATTACAGGCATGAGCCACTGTGCTGAACCTTACAGACTCTTACATTGGACACATTTCTTGAACTCTGAGTCTTAATTTTATCACCTGTAAAACAGAATTCTAACAACCCTGCAATGGAGGAATTAAGAACTGTGTACGTAAACTCTGAACAAGTGGGTACTCACTAAATAGTAATTATTGTTATTGTTACTGATAGTAAATAAGACAAAGTATATCACTGTAGGTGGGTATTGGAGCTGGAATTACATGGAAACTTCATATTCCAGGGAGTGGATAGAAACAAGTAGGAAAAGGCAGCCCAAAGTTACTTTTACCCTGGTCCTTATTCCTTATCTCCTTGGGTTTACAGAGATCTGTCTACATAAAATGGCAAAAAGGTTTGCATTGTAGTTTCTGTAAAGGGAACAGCTATGTAAAAAAAAGTAGTGATTGAGCATTAGGAAGGAAAACCAACATTTACGGATTTCAATTAGTGTTGCATCATTCTTGCATTTAACTTATGCACTGACTTGCAAGCCTGCCCCAGTGTAGATATAACATCCTGGCATTTATCTTGTGTGCACTGCCCTAGGTGTTATTTTATATATATGTTTTATATATTTTTTTTTCTCATTTAATTCCCCCAAAGATTCTGAGAGACAGGGTTTTGTAAATCCTACCTCAGGAAGCTAAAGCATGGAGAAATTTACCCAGAGCTGAAGCTTGAGGCTACAATTTTTTTTTTTTTCTTGAGGATAGGGAGAGATGATACTGTGTATGGTAAACTTATTAATATTTGTTAATTCAGCCAACATTTTGTGTATACTGTATGCAAGATGCTAATAGATATGTTGGAGAAAATTAAGTCAGTGAATGGATTTGATGCCCTGTGAAGCATAGGAGGTTACTGTTATTTCTAATTACTACAAGAATTCTTGCTGCTTGGTGCATAAGATCTACTGTGGGGAACAGTACAAGTGCTGACCATCTGACTTTAGAGTTGAACAGTTTGGGACTTGATCTCAGCTTCCCTATTCACTGGTTACTGGGAGCTTGTTTTCCTATCTGTAAGATGGAGACAATAAAACCTAGGTCATCATGTGAGATTATTGAATGCAAGGAGAGAATACTAAAATTCATCCCAGTAAGTCCACTGTAGTCCTAGGCAACATGACAGAGGTTACAGATCTTATACATCCAAGTAACATATCAATGGCAAGTTGGGGATAAGGATTTGGTTTTTAGGGTTTTACTTTCTGTTTTTGGTGACTCTTTTATTCTTGAGAAAATGTGGAAGGAGTAAGTAGAAGAACAGTTTATTCAGTGCAACATCAGGCGAAAGAAAAGCAGATTTTTTTCAGATGGTTAAAGCCTATGGCAAAATAGCTAACTTTCTCTTTAAGGTGTTTGGTGACCTGGAAAGGACAGCTGGCATGGGCAGAAAACTTGTTCAAGACAAACACTGTCCCAGCAATTTTAAAATTCCAGACATTACCCTGGGGCAAGCATCTCAACTTTTTCTTTCATACTACCTTCCAGGATCTTACTCCTGAGCCTAGGGTGCTCAAAGCAAACCCTGCCTCTGATGTGTTGTCAGTTTTCTCTAAAATCACTTACCTTCTGTGGGACTGGAGTCAGGCTGACATGGAAGGCTCCCGCAAACCCTATTTAGGCTCTCTGGAGACAGAGTGGGTGATTGGAAATGGAAGGGGGAATGAGGGAAATTTAACCCCATAGAATATCTTCCCCATGAGAGTAGCTTAGCACTACACGAAGACAGCTAAAAACCACAGACTTCCAGGGCTTGTCTGATACACAGGTTCCCTTGAGTGCTCTAACAAGTATTAGAAATAGTATGATAGGGAACCAAGCTCTTGTAGAGGAGGGAGAATCTTTTCCTCTACCTATCTTAGGTTCTTCAGCTGGGTCTTTGTGCATTAGACCGGCCAAAGACAGACGAATGAACAACAGTAAAGTAAGTTTATCAACAGGTGCATTGTTCATGTAGGTAAAATGGGAATACTCAGAGATGAGCAACTCAAAGGTTTGCTTAGAACTTGGGCTTATATAGCATCCTAGCCAAGGAACAATAAATTTTTAAAGAAATGACAAGATAAAGGACCTTGAGTCTCTAGGGGCAGCAAATTGTGGGAAGACAAATATATGGGAGACTAGTTGCAGATAAAGGCTAAATACTAAAGTTAATCATGTAGATTTTTCTTGTGTTGTCTCCAGGCTGACAGGGGTCTACAATTGTCTCTGGTGATTAATCTTTGTCCTTCCTGGTAGAGCAGGCAGGAGGTACACTTTTGTAAACTTATATCCTGCTTTTTGGCAAATGGAGGGAGGGCAGAGTGCTTTTCTAGTACCTTGTACCTATTTGCTTCTTCCTAATTGCCTTCAGCTCAAAATAATCCTTAAACCAAAGTGTCATACACTGCCCATGCTCTTGAGTAGATTGAAGGCTCCAAAGTAAAAAGTGCCATGTAGTACGGGATCTCCAAGCATCTGCAGTGAGTCAGGTATTACAATGCTGTTTTCAGTGAGTGTGCCATCCGTCTATGAGGAGAAATGAGGGGAACTAGAAAAATAAACTGACAGCTAGAAAAATACTCCACTGAATCAACAAATAGACATTTCTTGAAACAATAACATGCTCAATGTGCAATTTTGAAAAAGTAAACTGAGCAAGAATCCTGAAACGTGATCGTGGTGAGAATTTATACTTCTCAGGTAGCCAGGGGAAGCTAAGTTTCTACAGATTCCTTTGTCTTTCAGTCCTTTTGAAAATAGAAAAAGCAAGAGAAGAGGGACCGCACCATCAGGTAGAGTGGATCTCAGCTAGAATGAGGGGAAGTGGCCCAGAATCCAATCTCCTCCAAAGAGCTGTGTGACAGGCAAGTCCTACCCTTTCTGCACCTCTTTCCTTAAATGTAAGATGAAGCATTTGGACCAGACTGTTTCAATGATCTTCTAGATTGCTCTTGCCAAAACAGAACTCTCCACTCCTGTGAGATAAGTACACAATGGCTCTCAGAGATCTAAAAACTGCAAACTTTGAGGCCCCAAGGCACAAAAATACTAGCCTTTTTTTTTTTTTTTTTTTTTTTTAAGGTTCATGAAAGCTTGGGACACAAAAGCTTATATGGTCGTCTCTACAAATAAACCAGGGAGTAAAGAAAAACCCGGCTGGTTTCAGTAAAGCGTTGCTATGAAGCAAAGCAAACCTATGCAAATATCAAGTTCTTAACGAGTTGTGTTTCCTAAGGGGCCTGTCCTTTGGTACCCCGCCCTTCCCCTTCCACAGTCATATGAAGGCAGACAGGCACACACTCGCACACAAGCACGCACTTGGGAGCTAAGGGAACATAACACTGGTTAGTGAGTCGGTGTTCCTCTCCCATCGACTGCAACTTTTCCTCTCCTCTCTCCTCCCTCTCTCCACTTGTTTACATCTCTGTTCTCAGGAAGGCTCAGGGAGGATCCCCCGCTGCGTTCTGAGCGGCCCTGGAGAGACTCTGGGCCCGAGGTCCGGGCGGAGCCAAGGTCCCAGCCCACAAAAGGAACGGGCTTGAGGATTACCCAGAGGGCTCAGGATCTAGGAGTAGGGTCCAGGGCACTGGGTTGGGGTTGCTCTGGGGAAGCTTTGTGGGGCCAGGTGGGGTCTTAGGGCTGGAGCTGTACTCTGCGAGCTGGGGGCAGAGTTCTAGACTGGCAGGAACGGAGTTCTGAGTGGCGGGGGCGGGGGCGGGACCAACAAGGGGAGGCCTCTGAGAGTTGGGGGCGGAATTCTGGGCCAGTGAGGGATAGGGCGGGTCCAGCAGAGGCGGCCTCCGCGAGCTAGGGGAGGAGCTCTGCACTATCAGGGGCGGGGCTCTGAGTAGCGGTAGCGGGGTCTGGAGCAGCAGGCGCTGCCTCTGCGAGCTAGGGGAGGAGCTCTGTACCGTCAGGGGAGGGGCTCTGAGTAGCGAGGCGGGGTCTGAACTAGCAGGCGCGGCCTCTGCGAGCTGGGGGCGGGGTTCTGCACCGGCGGGGGCGGGGCTCTGAGTGGTCGGGGAGGGGTCTGGGCCAGCAGGCGCGGCGTTTGCGAGCTAAGGTCTGGGTTCTGCACCGGCGGGGGCGGGGCTCTGCGTGGCCGGGGCGGGCTTGGGATCCGCGGGGCGACACCCGGTCTGGCTTGGGCAGGCTGCCCGGGCCGTGGCAGGAAGCCGGAAGCAGCCGCGGCCCCAGCTCGGGAGACATGGCGGGCGTTAAAGGTACATCGCGGTCCCCAGCCCGCTCGTCGTGTGGTGGGGTTGCCACCTCCGTTCCAGTCAAGCCTGGGGCTGCGCCTTCCGCGTGCCTCTGGGGAACGGCCTCACCACCCTTCCCACCTCTCCGGGTGGGGAGGCGATCGCCCGCTCCCTTCGTCCCTTGGGGTGCGGGTGGAGCGGCGTTTCGGGGGAGCCTCGGCCCTTTTTACGAGGCCGCTGGCCTTCCTGCTCTCCAGTGGCGGCACCAGACCCCTCCCCAGGCGGAGCCCTCGGCGAGAGCGGCGCCCTCCACCCCTCTCGAGTTTTTAAACCGGGTTTCCACTTCTTGACGTGTCCACCCTAAAGCCTTTCCTCCGGTTTTCTACCCCTCCGCAGTTTCCTATTTGCTACAAAGGACGCTTTGTCTCCAGCGTTCTTAGCATTGGGAAACTTAATCCTCTTTTTCCTAATGATTTTTCCAACTGGGCAGAGTTGACCGCGGGCGGGTATCAATGGAAAGCACCCAGAAAGACGGTGTTTCTCGCAGTCGTGGAGAGTAGATTACGTGTAATTTTAATACTGCTTTCTTCGGTGTTTTCTCTGTTCGTCTATGCATAGAGAAGAAAGTAGTGTTTGTGTAGTATGTGTTTTTTGCCTGGGGCAGTTGATAAAAACACCGTGTACCTTATCTGTATGGCGTTAGAGCAATGTGAGACGGAAAAGGTTTTTTGCAAGGCTTCCTGTATTTTGGTAGGAAACCATTCCATTTCTAATCTGTCGAATAGAGTAGCATGACTTGTTTTTATGTTGGCGCTTGTATCATTCTTGAAATTTGCACCCAAAGATATCCCCAGTTAACATCTGCTATAAACATGTGTATACACGAGTACGCCTCTGTTCACTATGAATTTATCCGAGTGTGTGAGATGTTAGCGGTAGACATATTTTATCATTATTTCTGACTGACTTTTATACTCAATATCAGTTTAGTAAACATGGTTTACTTTGAGAGTGTCGACTGTGTGTTATACATCCTTTTGAAGCCAATGCCGAAAACATGAAAAGTAGTGTCTCAGTACAACACATGATCAGAAACTGCCAAATCATGATCATGTTCCATGTGTGAATGTGTTAGAAAATTGTGATGTGGTGAAAAAAAAGGAAGTCCGAAATGGAAAAGGACTAAGGGAAGGAAGCATTTTACAGATTCTTCAACTTTTATGAGGAACTACTGTATGCCAGAGACTTAGGGTACAAAGATAAATGAGAAGCTATTGGGGGATGACAGAGCTGGAAATAATTATATTACTATGTGAGTGTTTATGGTGTGCTCAGATGCGGTGGGAGAACAGAGATGGTAGGTTGGATTTTTGTCCTCCAAAAAGATATATTCAGGCTCTAATTCCCTAGTACCTGTGAATGTGATCTTATTTGGAAGTAGTGTCTTTGCAGATATAAGCAAGTTAAAATTATACTGGTTTAAGGTGGACCCTAATCCAATGACTGGTGTCCTTATAAGAAGAGGGGAATTTAGACATGGAGACATACAGGGAGAATACCATGTGAAAATGGAGACAGAAATTGGAGTGATGCAGCTACAAAGCCAGGAGCACCAAAGATTGTTGGCAACCGTGTTGGCAACCACTGAGTATTAGGAAGAGGCAAGGAAGAGTGCTTCCCTGCAGCCTTCAGAGGGAGTGTGGTGTCGCTACTGACACCTTGGTTTCAGAAGTCCAGCCTCAGAACTGTCAGAAGATAAATTTCTGTTGTTCTCAGCCATCCAGTTTGTGGTACTTTGTACCGGCAGCCCTAGGAAACTGATCTAGGTGGGTTTAATTTCCCGTGCTCCACAGAGAGGACTGTTTTCACAGAAGAGGCAATGCTTGAACTGAATCTGAAGGGATCAATATGGCTTCACTTGGCAAGGCATGGAGTGAAGGTGGAGTATATCCCAAGGGGGGAGGACTGCACGTGACATGGTGCAGGGCGCATGAAATAACATGCCTTCTTTTCTTCAGGTACTTAAGCTTCATGAGTGAGACCGGAACTTAGTGGTGAGGGTTGAAGCTGGACAGGCAGTTAGGAATGAGTCAGGCCATGGGGAGCCTCCATGCCAGAACAACTTGTAGGCTGTGGAAGCAATTGCAAAGGGATGGCAGCAGTGATATATATAGTTGAAAGATCACTGTCTGCTGTGTAGAGGATGGACTGGAAGAGTCACAGAGGCAGGAATGAGAGGATAAGGGCCTGCACCAGGGCTGTAGCAGAGAGTTTAAGAAGTCTGGGAGATTGAGTCACCTTGACTTACTGATTCGTTGGAAGGTGGAATGCAATTATGGTGTCAGCCCTCTAAGATAGGACCTTTAAAGGGTGGGGATAGTGGTTCGGTTTTACATGTTACACATGTTGAATCTGAGGTTCTTGTTGACTGTCAAGGCAGAGGAGTTCAGATTGGAGGTGGAAGTACAGGCCTAGTTCTATAGGACCTACTCTGGGCTGGGGCATCAGTGGTGGCTGGGCCCTTGTGGTACTGGGAGCTTTGGGTTGAACGTAAGTTTTCAGCTGGAGTGTGTGGAGTGCAAAGAGAGATGGGGTTGGATTTTTGGTCAACTCCAACTTTAAGAGATGCAGAGGATGTGATTCCTGAAAAAAGAGGAAAAAAAAAAAAAAAGACCAAAAAGAATCAAACAGAAAGATGGCTGTGAACCTTGAGAAACTGGTATCAGAACAGAAGGAAGAGGTTTGCAGTTCCTAGCTTTGACAGGCCTCATGGAGGAGGAGTTACTGCAGATGGTCAGGCACAGAGGAGGGGAGCAAAGCCCGCCAGGAAAAGATGATCTGTAATGAAATAATATGTGGTATTTGCTTTCCATCCACACATGGGCATTTTCCATTAAAGAGTGGAAATGTAAAAAGATATGTTAAAATTGACAGTTTTTCTTTGTCCCCTAACATCTGTATACTTTCAGATGTTTTTTAAAAAGCACTTTGGCACCTTCCTATTAAAGAGTCTCTCTAAATCTTCTCTCAAGTAAAAGGAAGCAATCAAAAATGTTCATTAGCTTAATTAATTAAATTCTAATTATGAGTATTATGGACTTTTTTCAGAAGAAAATTTGGATAAGATAGTCTCCTATGCTTTTGATTTCTACTTTTATCAAAGAACATTGCTAAAATGAGTAGATACTTGAGTCAGTAGGCAGCATTTATTTGACTACCTCCTTTTGCCAAGCACTTTACATAGATTATCTCATTTAATTCTCATAAGCTCAGTAAGGTGGCACCATTATTTCCATTTTACAGGTGAGAAATCAGGTTCAGAGGTTTAGCTTCTACTCAAGGTCATAAGACCAGATGGTGGCAGAGTTAAGATTTGACTCATATTTGTGACTCAGAGCTCAAAATTTTTTAACAACCTTGATACTCTGTTTCTCACTCGGCAGCACAACAAGGGCAAATATGTTCCTACTCCCACAGAGACTAGTGTCCAGTAGATACAGGGAATAAATATTTTATTCAGTGAACACTAGTTGAGAATTGTTTCCTACAAAGACATGAAAACAATCTTCAAATACTTGAAGTACCCGTGGTTTGGGGAGGCAAAATGATCAAAGGTATATATTACAGGGAGGCAGTTCTGGATATAATTTAAAGAAGGAGGGCTTTCAACATTTAGAAACTGTTGGAATTACATTAAACCTGTCTTGAGTGGTAGTGAGTTTTCCTTCACTGGAGTTGTGTGGACCGACTGACTGCCCTCTGGTGACAAATATAGAGGGAATTCATACATTGGATATGGGTTAGGTATAGGAATTACTTGAGACCTTTGTATACCTTATGATTTTAAGGTGGCAGACATGGGTCATTGTCTTAATCAGTTTGGGCTACTATAAGAAATATATTGTAGACTGGGTGGCTTAAACAACCAACATTTAGTTTCCACAGTTCTGAAGACTGGGAAGTCCAAAATTTTGGTGCAGTCAGATCTGGCATCTGGTGAGAGCCTTCTTCCTGGTTTGCAGGCCTGCTTTCTGCTCTCACATTGGAGAACAGAGGGAGAGAAAGAGAAGAGCGTGTGCTCTACTTTCTCTCTTCTTATAAGGACACTCATCCCATCGTGGAGACCCTATACTCTTGACCTCATCTGAAGCCAGTTATCTCCCAAAGACCCACCTCCTAATGGCATCTCACGGTGAGAGGGGTGGAGCCAGGAAGGTTTTAACATATGAATTTGAAAGGGACACACACAATGCAGTCTGTAACTGGGGTCAAATGTAACCTCAGTGAAATGAGTAAATTGCTACTTTCGCTCGAATTTGGGACCTTTTTTCTTTCTTTTTTTTGTAAACATTTTTATTGATAAATGACTCACATACCATAAAATTAACATTTTTAAACTGTAAGATTTCATGGTTTTTTGTATATTCAGAAGGTTGTGCAGTCATCACTACTATCTAATTCCAGAAAATTTTATCATCTCCCAAAGAAACTCTGGACCTATTTAGAAGTCACTCCCCGTTTCCCCAAACCCTCTAGCCCCTGACAGTCTCTACTGTGGGAACTTTAACTCTTGGCTTTATTTTTCACAGCTCTTGTGGCATTATCCTTCAGTGGGGCTATTGGGCTGACTTTTCTTATGCTGGGATGTGCCTTAGAGGATTATGGGTAAGTTATTATTTCAAAAAGAACCATTCCTCTTTCTGTGTTTTTGTCACTATTAGTATGGGTGTTAGAGAGTTTGGTCAATTTAGCACCAAGTTCTAACCAATGAGTTAGTGGAGCCCAGATTATGAACACCTTCCCTTTGTGGGTCAGGTGTACTTTTGCAGAAAAAAAAAGGGCTTTGTTAAAAATTGATGTATTCATTCTGTAAGCATTTAACACCTACTCTGGACTAGCTAGGGACACACAAATGAAGAGACACAGTCCTCTCCTCAAAGAGGTACAGTTCTAGTTGGGAATGAGAGACAGGCAAACAGTCTGGTCAGTAAGATGGCAGCTGCAGTGGAGATGCCGGCCAAGTATGCTGGAGCTCAGATAAAGTGCTCCTGAGTTTCAGTGGGACAGTCAAGGAAGGCTGCATGGCAGAGGTTGTGTCTGAGCCAAGACTTGGTGGATAAATAAGAGTTTCTCAGGCTGATGAGTCAGGGGAGAACATTCCAGGCAGAGGGAACATTCTACACATTTTTTTATTCAACCATTGTTAGTTGAATGCTCCCCATGTGCCAGCTACTGTGATGGGAACTAGGGATTAAGACATAAGAAAACAAAGGTCCTGCTCTGTCAGAGTTTGTGTTTCAGTTGGGGAGACGGATAGTAAATAACAAAAGTGTGCATACTGCCAGAGGTAGAAGTGGTACAAAAGATGAAGAGCATAGAAGCTGGGAAGACAGTGGTCAGGGAGGGCCTCTCAGAGGAGGTAAAAAGTGAGAAGAATTGTCAAGAAAATCAGGAAGCAGGTCATACAGATCTCTAGGGAAAAAGTGCTTTAGGCACCAGGAAAGCTGTATGCTAAGGCCCAGAGACATGAAAGCATATATAGCCTTTTCAGGAAACCGCACATGGTACATTATGGTACAGCATAAATTGTAGTTGGAGTGGCAAAAGAAGGGTTAGTCAAGAGTGCAAAAGTCAGCACTTAGGGCTCTACATGCCTGCCATGTAGAGGAGGTTCCATTTTATACATCAGACAATAGGAGCTGGGAAAATATCTTGAGAATGGGTTTGGAGGAGGGGGTTATGTTAAAATGTCATTCTGGCCATAATGTGAGACCAGACAGGAAAGAGCTGAGACTGCAGTCAGGGAGAATAGTAAGGGACTACTGTCATAAATCAAGCAAAATTGAGGGCTGGAGTAGTAGGAATGGAAAGAAAAGGAGAGTGAGTTAGGAAACCAAACCAACCAACAGGTTTTGTTAATTGATGTCAAGATTCAACAAGGAGAGAGAGTTCTTAGATGTCTCCCAGGTGATTGGCTTGATGTGATTAGGCTGGGCACCATGGCTCACGCCTGTAATCCCAGCACTTTGGGAGGCTGAGGCGGGTGGATCATGAGATCAAGAGATTGAGACCATCCTAGGCAACATGGTGAAACCCCCGTCTCTACTAAAAATACAAAAAATTAGCTGGGCGTGGGAGTGCACGCCTGTGGTCCCAGCTACTTAGGAGGCTGAGGCAGGAGAATCACTTGAACCCAGGAGGCGGAGGTTGTAGTGAGCTGAGATCGTGCCACTGCACTCCAGCCTGACGACAGAGCAAGACTGTCTCCAAAAAATAAAAAAATAAAAAATAAAGAAGATGAAGATGATGATGTGGTTAAGTGAGACCAACTGAAGTGAGTTGTTATGACAGTGATGAATTTAAATCCATCACCACAGTCCTGGCCAACTATTATGGAAATTGTTTAAACCCAAGAGGGATCCAAATATAAGCAGTCACTTATATTTGTTTAGAACCTTCACAGCAATTACTTGATTCTAGATTTAGGAATGTAATAAGGTATTATTATCCTTATTTCTTGCTGGGAAGCCAAAGCCCAGAGTAGTTAAAGACTTACCCAGATTACACAGCAATAAGTGACAGAGGTCAGGCATGGTCGCTCATGCCTATAATCCCAGCACTTTGGGAGGCAGTGATAGGAGGATTGTTTGAAGCCAGGAATTTGAGACCAGTCTGGGCAACAAAGTGAGACCCCATTCTACAAAAAACTAAAATAAAATTAGCCAGGCATGGTGCCTGTAGCAGGGTTGGGAGGCTGAGGTGGGAAGATTGGTTGAGCCTAGGGGTTGGAGGCTGCAGTGGGCTGTGATCGCACCACTGCAGTCCAGCCTGGGCGACAGAGCGAGACTCCGTCTCTTAAATAAAAAAGTAAAAAAAAAAAAAAAAAAAAAATTAAAATCGCAGACATGGAAATGGAGCTCATGTTCTTATGCTCTTGACCAAACGTTTTTCCATTATTCCACAACCAACTGTAAATCTAGGAGTTTTAATTCTCTGTGATACACTGGGTCTTTGTAAGGTAAGAAAATGACTCATTACTGCTACTACAAAGAAGTTTATTTTCTATCTTTATTTTAATTTTTTGTTTTTTAGAGATGCCACAGCACCCAGCTGATTTTTAAAAAAAGTTTTTGTAGAGACGGAGTCTCTCTGTGTTGCTCAGGCTGGTCTTGAACTCCTGGCCTGAAGTCATCCTTCCGCCTTGGCCTCCCAAAGCTGTATCTTAATGATAGTGAACCAGGATTATCATATGTATTGGAAGTCAGCAAACTGCCACATATAACCTGCTACCTGTTTTTGTAATAAAGGTTTTATTGAAATACAGCCATGCTCATTTGTTTATGAATTATCTTTGGCTGCTTTTGCATTGCTCTGCCAATTATCTTTGGCAGAGTTGAGTAGTTGAGATAGTCTTTATGGTTTGCAGATCCTCATTATTTACTCTTTGGCCCTTTACAGAAAAAGTTTGCCAACCCCTGGCCTACATGTTTACTGAATTGTATATACTTAATATTTACATTTTATATATAAACAAGGTTTCTTGTATATGAACATTTCTCTTAGTTGGATATTGGTGGCTTACTATGAATGGAAACATAAAGTCAGGTTGTTTTTCACAAAACTGTCACTATATTCCAGGAAAAATTAAGAGTTCTTGGCTGTGGATATGTCAGGTGACAGCTATTTCTATTCCAAACCCCTTTCCTTCTCTGTATCTCCTTTCTCACTGTTCAAAGAAGGGCTGTGAAGTAGAGAATGTCTAAGGGCTCCTTCCCACAATATTGTTTGGTGATTCTTGAAACATACTAACGTCCCTCTACTTTAGAATCAGGAGTCCAAATCCACTGTTTCCATCCTGAGTCCTCTTGAAGGACACATTCCCTTCTTGCCTTTTGGTTACCTAGATCTGTGGCTGGAATGGGAGGCTTTCATTAGCGTGGCTTCATCCTCACTCCTGCTTGTAGGTGCAGTCTGGGTGTGTCTGTGTGATCACAGTATTGTGACGATATGAATTACTGTGGTGTATAGATGAAAATGAGCAGAGACTTTTTTTTCCTTAAGAAATGAAGCATAACAAATGTCTTGATGGAGAAAAAAAGATTATTTTTTGAAATATTTATAGAGAAAATACCATTGGAAACCAGATGGCAATTTTTTTAATAATTGCAAAACATTGAAATTTGGGAGGAAAACAGTTTTGTTTTGTTTTTGCATTACACTATCAATTGTGAGCTATTGTAATGAAGATTAGAGTACATCTAAGGTTTTCACTAGTGAGCATATTTATTTTCATGCCTTCTGTACTTAAAATTTATTTGTTATTTTATTCATTTAACAAGTATAAATGGAGTACATCATTCTAGGCCCTGGAGATAAATGGCGTTTGACCAAGACTAATCTATCAGATGGGAATAAGTGTTGTGCAGAAAGTTAAAAGATGGTGGTATGTTCAAGGGTGACCTGGGGTACTTTAGAATAGATTGGCCAGGGAAAGTTCCGCTTTTAGAAAGGAATCTGTCAGTTTAGATCACATGGTATGAAGGAGTCAGCCAATGAGAAGAACATTGCAAGCAGGCAGCACAGCTAGTGCAAAGGCCCCAGGATAACAGTTATGAGCTCAGAGTGTTCAAAGAACAGAAAGAAGGCTGGTGTGGCTACAGATTAAGCAAATGAAGGGAAAGGAGTACAAAATGAATGGAAGAAGTAGATAATACCACACCATGTAAGGCTTTGTAAGCAAGGACAAGGAATTTGGGGTTTATTCTAAGCCCTTAAAAGGTTTCAAGCATGCATGCACTCAAAAGATCTTTACCAAATTAGCTTTTGCAAGACACTCTACTATGTTCTACAGGGAAAGCAGAAATGACCAAGTTAAAATTCTGTCTCTAAAGAAATTGTGGCTCAGTGGTACAGAAAACAGTAAAGTTTCTAGAGATTATATTATACAGTGGTTTCTTAACACAATATAAGCTACCTACATGGTAATTTTAAAATTATCACTACTTATCTGGTAGAAATCATCTTGTGTTCTTATATTCACAATTAATTAATTTTTTGACCTAAACATTTAAAATAGCAATGATTTTGAAATAGTAGTATGTCTTTCATTTAAAATGTAACTGTTACTTTTCTTTTTGGATTTTGCCTGGGTCCAACTGACAGCGTTTACTGGCCCTTATTCGTCCTGATTTTCCACGCCATCTCCCCCATACCCCATTTCATTGCCAAAAGAGTCACCTATGACTCAGACGCAACCAGTAGTGCCTGTCGGGAACTGGCATATTTCTTCACTACTGGAATTGTTGTTTCTGCCTTTGGATTTCCTGTTATTCTTGCTCGTGTGGCTGTGGTAAGTTTTATTTTCTATTGTTTTGCTCAACTGTTGCTGAGTTTACTTCAGAGGCCTGTGTCTGGGACCTCCATTTCATGTTCATTACTTAGGCTTTATACTCAGGGCCATGTATTTTTAGTTTCTCTGTTCTTCTACTTTAGACCTGCCTATCAGTAGCTCGACCATGCTTTCAGAGTGCTTTCTTTATTTCTCTTACAACTTTTAGCCAGACTGTATGATTTCTTTCTTTTTCTACTTTAAGTTATTCTCTGGAATTGTTCTTAAATTCCTGCCTCTTAAGTCTTACAGTAATCCACAGATACTATGCTAGCAGTACTTTTCTAGTTGCAAGATGAAGGTATTTCAAATTCTTCTCCTGCAAATGGGATCATGGACTCAACTCTCAATGCAGTAGAATAGGTATATGTTGAGGGACAACTATGTAGCTTCCAGAAAATGGAGTAAATAAGATGACATCTTTACTTCCAAGACAAAAACTTTCTTTTTGTCTTCAAAGTACACATTGTAGGTATAATTTATTCAATTATTTGATGTTCACTATCTCTCCTCCTATTTGATTTTATTCCCTCCAATTACATTCTGTTTTAATTTTATGAAATCTTATTTGAGGCATTAAATATCAGATGAGCGCAAGTCTTGTTTATTTATTCAATAAATATCTTTGGAACAACTACTACTGTAAAACACCAGAAATAAGAAATAGGTACTGTCTCTGCTCCTAAGGAACACAGAAACCAGCTTGCTGGCTAAGTATACTGTAAATGTACTATGTTAGATGGTTGAAGCATGATCAGAATGCCATAGGGGCACCAAGAAGAGAGAAATTCCAACTGGCATTTGATAGGGGCCTCTAAGGATAAATAGCATTTGTGTTAAAGTAGGATGGCTGTTATATGGAATGACATTCACGTGTAAGAATGCCGTGTATGGAATAAAGAAGAGTCCAGTGTGGTAGAGCTAAAAGAAAGTTGTTGAGATTAAGGCTGGAAAGGTTGTGAAACCTGACTAGCAAGGGTCTTGAACTTTGACTAGATAATGGGGAAGGATTGAAGGTTTTTTAATACAACAAGATTGTCATGACTTTATTCTTCTTGTGCTTTAGACCAGCACTTCTTAAGCACTGCAGTAAATATTTATATTTTTTCCTTTCAATACTGCCGTCATGTTTTGTGAAGAAACTTTCATTGACGTTTCTATTGATTAAAGTAAAACAAAAAATGCCCACTAGAGGGTACTCTCACCCCCAAATGTGCTTCTATAAAACCATCTACAAACCGTTTACCAAGCTGGAAAGCAGTTTTCAGTTGTATAAAGACTATTATTTAAAGTCTTTTCCTGCCTAGAAAAGAAACAAACAAATTCATAACTCTCCAATTTTTATTTTCCATGAAAGACGTTGATGTGTACAAAACTTTCAGTACCCAATATTGTAATTGCACTATTTATAATCTTACCACTTGAGTTTTACTTAAGGCAATCATTGTCAATTAAAAACAAGTAGAGAAATATGTCTAATTGGGAAAATGTTAAGGATGATACCAGACTTAATTAACAAGTATCACAGAAGTAATTAGACTCATTACTAAACAGTTCATTGTCTCCTGTCTGTTACGTTATTAAGCCTTTTAGCAGCTTTGTGTAATATTTCATTGGATGTTTCTAATGCAGAAAATAATAGAGATTGCAAAGAGTACGATATGAAGGAAGTAAGGATTTAATCCTTCTTTTCTTGTCTTTCAGATCAAATGGGGAGCCTGTGGCCTTGTGTTGGCAGGCAATGCAGTCATTTTCCTTACAATTCAAGGGTTTTTCCTTATATTTGGAAGAGGAGATGATTTTAGCTGGGAGCAGTGGTAGCACTTTATTCTGATTACAGTACATTGAATTTCTTAGAACTCATACTATCTGTATACTTGTGCACATGCAGCATTTTACTATGAAATTTAATATGCTGGGTTTTTAAATACCTTTATATCACGTTCACTTTAAGGAAGACTTCATAAGTAAAAGATGAGTTTTATTCTCAGCAAATAGACCTGTCAAATTTAGATTATGTTACTCAAATTATGTTACTTGTTTGGCTGTTCATGTAGTCATGGTGCTGTCAGACAATATGTTAACCCAGTCTTGTAGACAGCTGCCACCTTACGCAGTGCATCTAAACCTTTTGCTTGGGGATGTGCTTGGAGAGGCAGATAACACTGAAGCAGGTCTCTCATGGCCCAGGAAGGCAGGGGTGGATCCCTCCTTGTGTTGTAGTCCATGCTATTCAAAGTGTGGCCCACAGACCAAGAGCCTCAACATTTCCTAGGGCCTTATTAGATAAGTGCAGAATCTGAAGCCCCACTCTGGACCCAGGGCATTTTGATGAGATCCACAGGAGCTGTATGCACATGAAGGTTTGAGAAGCATCGTCAAAGAGAAGTAAACATCACACCCAACTTCCTTATCTTCCCAGTGGCTAAACCACTTAACCTCTCTGGGTGTTACCTGCTCATTTGTTTGAAAACAAAAAAAAAGTCTCACCTGCCCTCATGCTGAGGACAAGTTCAGATGTTCAAGCCTATAATATTTAGGCTGTTCCTCAAATTTGTGAAAAGTGTTCTCAGAATTGGGAGATAGTCAAAGGGTACAAAGCCTCAGGAGGAATAAGTGTGATTTTTTTTTTTTAAGATCACTTGCACAGCATGCTAAATATAGGAATAATTGAATGTATATTTCAGTATTGCTAAGAGAGTAAATTTCTAATGTTTTCATTAAAAAGTTAAATATTTGAGGTCATACGTTAATTAGTGTAATCATTCCACCTTATATTCAAAACTCATAACACCATATTGTACCCTATAAATATATACAATAATTTGTAAATATATAATCAAAATAAGTTAAAAAAAAAAAAAACCCCTCTCCCCTAAAACAATTCTCAGTGGCGAACAGATATATCTTCTCATCTGAAAGGCAATGCCGGGGGAAGAGCTCCACTGAGATGTGGGCTGGGAGGCTGGGCTGGAGCCAGCCCCTACATTAGCAGGAGGGGAATAATAGATATGTGACTCTTTTACATTTCCTTTATGATCTGGCGCTTCTCCCCAGCTCCTTCCCTCTGCCCCCCACCCCTACTCTTCAACAGTTTGGTTTGCCCTGACTTCTCTACGACTCTGGCTTTTTCCTGAAGTGATACAGGAGCCATGTAAGCACGCAGTGGATGAACTGCTTAATTCCACTACATGTTGATGTACTTATTGTCTTCTATTCTGTAGGTCTTTTCTATATAACTTTATGCCACCCTTAAATGAATCATTGGGTATACATGTCATGTTGGATCCTGTAATCACAGTTTTCCCAGCTCATCTTTTTCTAAGATCTGTTGAGAAAGGGAAATATGGGAAGGAGAACCATTTGATCAGAATACAACCAATAGTCTTTAAGCATTTTTAAAGTATGAAACTGAAATACATTCAAAACACTTAATCCTTGAGGCTTGTGATCTGAGTAATTAGCGGATATGATGCTGGGACCAGAAAATAGAAAGTAATAACTAAAGGGTTAATGTGCAACATTATTTTTTGGACTTGTGCATGATTTTATGTTTTCAATGTCCTGTGTACATATAGAATTGTTAAAGTTGTTGTTTCCAATATTTATATTAGAAAAATTATTTAGATACTTTATAATTTTAACCAGCATTTTTTAATGACACTTGCATTTATTGTATTGTAATAAATTTCACTTTTAACTTTAAAAGTTTAACTTTAAAAGTTTTTATTGTGATGTTGCCTTGCCTGAAAAGATAACAAAAATGAGAGAATTTCTTGATGTTTTAAAATGGACAGTTTTTAGCAATAGTCTGTCCTAATAGAACAATAGCAATAAGTTTTAGGATACCATTTTGAATGTCTAGTTGGTGTGTAATAGCTTTTCTTTCTAAGATGGCAATAATGATTCGTTTCTACTACATTCTGCAAAAGTGTTTTTGTTGCTTATACACATTTTCAATAACCAAGATAGCCTTCATATGTAGCCTTAAAGCATTACCTCTTGATTGTATCTTTAGAGTGATATAAAGTACTTGTATATAGAGTATTTCAAGTGATAGATTATTAGATTTGCTCTATGTCTGAAAGGAGAGCTATTTATTCTGCAGTGCCTAAATATCATTTAAATAGTAAATATCAGTAGGAAATATTGCTGTATCTGAATATATAATACAAAAGTTTGATCATGGTGACACAAATGTTGGGCATTTTTTTCCTTACAGAAGGCTTTTTTTTCTTTTTTTGAGACAGAATCTTGCTCTGTCGCCCAGGCTGGAGTGCAGTGGCACATCTCGGCTCACTGCAAGCTCCACCTTCTGGGTTCATGCCATTCTCCTGCCTCAGCCTCCCAAGTAGTTGGGACCACAGGCGCCCACCAACATGCCTGGCTAATTTTTTGTGTGTGTTTTTAGTAGAGACGTGATTTTACCGTGTTAGCCAGGCTGGTCTTGATCTCCTGACCTTGTGATCCGCCCACCTCAGCCTCCCAAAGTGCTGGGATTACAGGCATGAGCCACTGCGCCTGGCCAAACGGCTTTTTTTTTTTTTTTTTTTTTTAATTGTACAATGTATTTGGAGATTCAGAGCATAGTAACTGTAGTCTAAAACTGAGATTGTACTTCCAAAATTGCCCACAGGTAAACAATCTTATGAAGGGATTCTTTATCATGTTTCAAACAAGTGGCTTACAAGCAGACTTTGAGACACTTTTCCACAGAAACAATACCATGAATTGGTGATTGAGTTCCCAGGCCAAGCCTCCCTCAACAGGTTCAACTCTAATATACCTGACCTGTGATACTGAAGGTGCCTGCCTAAGTTTTGGGTCTCTGAGACAGGGTAGTATGAGCAGTTCGGAGGAAGGACAGTGCAACTTTCCACCCCTTTTCCTAAGAACAAGGTCTTTCTTCTTTTAATTTTTCCACTCATTTTCACCTCCTAATGCCCTTGAGATCCAGGTGCACTCCTGGGAATTTTGCTCACCTCTGCCAGCTGAGAGCCTTCCCATTGGCCTCCATCCTCCCTCCTGAGGTTCTTCATATTCCAGAGTCACCCACCCTTCTCCTCTCATTAGTTCTCTTAAGTACAGCTGATGTCATGTGGTGCTGAGAAGAAAGCAGATCACACTTCATCACAGAAACAATGAATGCCTTGTGATTTTCTTCTCCACATCTGAAACTCCTGACACCTGCATTGGGCCGACTGCCATTCCCATGACTGCTGCACCTGCATTTTTAGAGAATGCCTCATAACCCACTGATTCTTGTTCACAGAGAATGGGAGAACGGAATGAAGAAACATTCCAGCAGCTTATGGAAGGATAGCAATATTTTGGGACAGGGACAATCCTATCATATCTCATCTCTTCCTCAGGAGGAGTTCTGAGCTGGTCTTGCTTTTCATAGTTGTTTCTTTTCTTCCATTTAAGAACCTATAGATTTTTCTTACAGTCCTGAGGAAGTCCTTACCTCTGAGGTATCTCCTCAACGAATACTGTTTTCAAGGCTGAAATGGTTCATTATGTTAATAACCTTCTTTATGTTCTCAGGGAAATGCTTAGGTGGTGTCACAAAATGTGCCTTTTCAAAGTTTGCAAAATCAGATTTTGTATCCCGATAGAAACTAGTGATTAGTTCACAACTGAGAAGTATTATTTCTGTAGTAGATAAATATTAGTTGTGCATTTTAATTTAATTCTCCTTTTTCCATTTTGTCTCATGAAGTACCTTATTGCAAAAATCCCACTGAGTAATAGCTCATAAATTATAATCTTTCAAATAGCCATGCTACCAGCATACAACAGTGATACATGTAACCCCAAATGTAATGTGATAGGACAATTACTTTGTAAATAAAAGTTGTTATTGACATTTTAACAAAGGCTTTTATGTACATTATTAAATGAAAAAGTTTATATGTTCCTTTGAGGTATGTTACGTTTGGAAAGGAGATCAGTAAGTTAATTTTCCCAGTGTTTTTGTCTGCATAATCTTAATGTGAATCTGACCAGTGAAACCTGTACTTGCTGTAGTTGAAGAGAAGCAGTCCAGAAATGTTGTGCTGACTGGAAGGAATCCAGGCCCTAATTTCTGTGGCTGATGCTCCCTGTGGTGGACCTGGAAGACTGGAAAAGCTGTATTGGAAAAGAGGAAAAAACCTGACGCCTTAAGAAAAGTGCTCTACATATTTTGAAGAGTCTTTTTGCACACTAAAGAAAAGAATGCACTAATAGAAAATAGTCTTTAAGGAATAATATATCCTCCTTATGCACAAAATATTTGGGAAAGATCTGATTTTTACTAGTGGATTTAGGCAGCCAGATTGTAAAGAAATCAAGCTAGTTGTTTCTTTGTGTTGCCAAGCCAAGTGTAAAGTTAAACTTTTAATAGAAGTAGAAATAAAAATGTGATAATACCAACATAACTGTAAAATGGCCATAAGAAAATGAGTTCCCAAGGAAAATTAATAGATGACCATTTTGAAACAGTTATTTGTGGTCAATACTAGGCACATAGGCAAAGTGGTCTTAATCCTAAGATTGCTCATTTGGAGAAGAGCACACTTGGAGACTGCACAGTCTTTTTTCACTTTTGAGTAGATCTGTCAAAATTGAATGATTATAACTGTTTACACACTTCTGAATGAATGAATAGATATTAAGTGTGTGCATTCATTCATTCATTTTTCCCCTCAGAATAATTTAATAAAACCATCAGTTGAACTTGAGCTGGCTGATCATTTCACTTATTAATTTAAAGCGTAAATGCACCCATGCCTCTGCCTTAACACTTTCACTTCCTCTGTGGTTGAGAAACAAATGGTATCACCACACTCTGTCAAGTTTCATGATTCTTACAGCCTTCTCCTCAAAATTGTATGCTTGTTCATCTGACAAACCCAGAATTCTCCAGTACTTCGAGCCATCACTGCTGCAGCCTTGCCATTTGTGGTTCCTTGACAGAGCTTCTGCTAAAATCCACTTAACCACTGATGGAAATGAGTTACATGAGCTCTAAACACAGGTTTTAATCGGATTCCTGATTTATTCAAGATACCACTTTAGTTAATTTGCAGTGAGTCTTAGGCTTGATTTATTCAAGATTCCAAGGTGCGGAACTGATAATTGCTCAGCTCTTTAATAAAATCACTGGAATATATATATATATATAAAATTTATATATATAATTATATATATATATAATTTTTTTCTTTTCTTTCTTTTTTTTTTGCAATAACATCTCAATATGTTGCCCAGGCTGATCTCAAACTCCCTGGGCTCAAGCTACCCTTCTGCCTCAACCTCCTAAGTAGCTAGTACTTCTGCTGGAAACATGCAGATGATGAATGGATAATGCGACATATCCATGCAATGGAATGTTTTTTCAGACATAAAAAGGAATGAAGTACTGAAACATTGCTACAGCGTGTATGAGTCTTGAAGACATTATGTGAAGTGAAAAGAGCCAATCACAAAAGGCTGTAAAAGGTCACAAAAGGCTGAGGCAGGAGAATCGCTTGAACCCGGAAGGCGGAGGTTGCAGTGAGCTGAGATCGCGCCACTGCCCTCTAGCCTAGGTGACAGAGGGAGACCCCATCTCCAAAAAAAGTTTATATTTCAGTGTAAGAAGAAAAAAACTAGGTAAATAAAGTATCTGATATGGTAGGCACTACTGGAAAAAATATAGTGGGGAAGGAGGATAAGTAGTATTTGGGGCATTGTGGTTTTAGATAGGGTGGCCATGAAAGCCTCACCCAAAAGAGGCAAAGAAGAGCTATGTGGATTTCAGGGTCTCCTTCTGTTGTCCAGGCTAGAGTGCAGTGGCAAGATATGGCTCACTGCAACCTTAACATGGGCTCAAGGGTTCCTCCCACTTCTACCTCTTGAGTAGCTGGTACTGCAGGCATGGACCACTGCACCTGGCTAAGTTACTTATTTTTTGTAGAGATGAAGTTTCCCTACATTGACCAGGCTGCTGTCCAACCCTGGCCTCAAGAGATCTTCCTGCCTACCTCAGCCTCCCAAAATGCTGAGATTACTGGTATGGGCCACGGCTCCTAGCCTTCATTTTTTTGTTTTTTTTTTTTTTCAAAAAATATTCCAACTAAGCTTTGGCATTTATTGCTTGAGAAATAAATAATATAAATAAAATAGCTTGATTTAGGAAAAGAAATTATGTGCTAGCTGGAACACTGGCCAGGTTATGGTCATGATAAAGACAAGACCAGCCGGGTGCGGTGGCTCACACCTGTAATCCCAGCACTTTGGGAGGCCAAGGTGGGCGGATCACGATGTCAAGAGATTAAGACCATCCTGACCAACATGGTGAAACCCCATCTCTACTAAAAATACAAAAATTAACTTGGCATGGTGGCTCACACCTGTAATCCCAGCACTTTGAGAGGCCAAGGTGGGTGGATCACGAGGTCAAGAGATTAAGACCATCCTGACCAACATGGTGAAACCCCGTCTCTACTAAAAATACAAAAATTAACTTGGTGTGGTGGCTCCCTCCTGTAGTCCCAGCTACTCAGGAGACTGAGGCAGGAGAATTGCTTGAACCTGGTAGGCAGAGGTTGCAGTGAGCCAAGGTTGCGCCACTGCACTCCAACCTAGTGACAGAGCACCAAAAAAAAAAAAAAAAAAAAAAAAAAAAGCGACATGGTTGAGCTAGAGAGTAAATAAAATGGCCCCTAATACGATGGGTATAG